TCCTGAGGGGCTTGAGAATGTTACTAACCTCCAGGAATTAAGAATCTTTGGCATGTATCGGAGATTCTGTAGTAGGGTTGGGGAAGGAGGAGAGGATTTCTACAAAATTCAACATGTGCCTTCTCCTCTCATTGCACATATTGAGGAGGATTGAGAAGTGGATTACGTAACTGGTAAGCATGCTGCTACTTATATTTTGTTTGCTATTTATCTGTTTCTCAGGGGTAAAATCATAATGTGTTTCTTTTATCTTTTCCGGTTGTTCCTTAAAGGAGAAAGTGAAGGGGAGTGAAGTGTGGCAAAGGTGGCGAATGCTGCTGGGAGGGAAAGGCCAATCTCGCAAAATTAGGTGAAGATTATGTTGTTAATAATTGAAGGCAGTTGGCGTATCCATGTGTTATATCATATGATTTGCTTAATTTCTCTTTGTTTAATACTTAGAAAACTGTAAGCCATGGTCATCTGTAATCTATGCAAAAACAGTTGTCGATAGTCTGACGCCACAATAGTTGCTAATAACATGTGCAATCGACTGCAAGAATAGGTTTTCGATAATCGTTTTGTAATCTATGAAAAAAATCATCAAGGTTGTCGCAGGATGACCTACCATTTCATCAATTCACAAAAAATTTGGACCCAAAAACATTAAGAATATGAAGAAATAAAATCCTGTTTCTATCAAGAATATTAAGAATATGAGTAGGATAAATAGAATATATCATATCCATCAATCAAGAGCACTCAACATACTAATAGGGGGTGAAGAGCTTTCTTCCTTCCGCTCGGTCATATGCTCAAGCTAAACAATTGAATTAGGCATTGGCAAGTCTTTAGTTACTTAATTGCTTTGCTAGTTCTAGAACGAAGGTATCCTTACCTGAAATGGGTATGGTTGAACTCCTAAGGACCTCATGAGCACAAATATGTAGTTTGTTTCCTCGATTTGTGACGATTTCAAGGGTTTGTGGTGTTGTCCGTACGAAAAGGATAGGAAAGGGAAAGAGAGAGTCTCGGGACAGGGCATAGAGAGAGAGAGAGAGAGAGAGGAAATGAGTGTGTGTATGTGTGTGGTCCAAAATCAACCAAACAAAACCCAAAAACGACCACACAACGAAACAAACATACTAGGGGCAAAATCGTCATTTCACCCTTACGGTACGAAAAGTTCGAGACGGGCTGTCACACTTATTTACACTTAAAAAATTATAATTAAATAGAAATTTGGGTTTATTATTTTAATTACTTTTATTATTTAACATATGTCATACAAAATTCAAGTAATTTGATGATATGAAATGAAAATTTAAGGGATTAAAAGTTCGTAGTACTTCACTAAATATATTTGACAGTTCTTATAACTTTATGGTAAATTTAAAAGAAATAATAGTTTTAAACACATGGATTTTTGGTTGAGTGGTGGAGAAATATGAGACATCAGCCATCATATCTCCCAATTTTTTTTATTGGGATATGTACCACCACATAATTCCTAGAAGTCTTATTAATTAGGATAACATGTGGCAGATCCTCATTGGATGCACTTACAAAAGAAGACAAAGGTTTGGCTTGTCACATGAAATGGGAGAAAGACAATGAGGCTTTGCCTCTGTATCGTCTTCTTCATTGGAAAACAGAGCTCCTTCTTTTGTAGATTGAAATAGAAAAAAAAATCGTCATAATAATCTCACTTCTCTGACTTTCAACCACACCCGGAGCTCCTATGTCACATCCCGGTCCGGGCCCCCACCACATCCTAGGCTCGACTCCACCGTAGCACGATATTGTTCGTTTTGGACCTCGACCACGTCCTCACAATTTTGTTTCTGGGAACTCACACAACTCGAAGCCAGTGAGCTCCCAAAAGGTCTCGTGCTAGGTAGAGATGGGAATATACATATAAGGCTTACAAGATTCATTCCCTTGGACGATGTGAGATGTTACAGCCTAGGCTTCTTAGCACCCGCCTAAGTTATTCTCTTATTTGCCTTCCAAATTGGGCTTAATCCCGACGGTTGATCATCGCGTACTGCTTAGGCGCCCAACTAGGTTGTTTTTAGAACAGCACTTGTGCATTAACTATTATGAATTTTTATTTAATTTGAACTCCTCTAAAAATATTATTCTTGAGGGTTTGTAGGATTTTAAAGTTCAAATGACAATGTATCCATCTCAAAGTGTAAAGGATGGGATCATATTCTCTGCATATTTTTTTCTCATTTTTTACACTTGTAAATTAATTATAATCTTTTTAATGTGTTTGATATTTTAAAATTACTTTGATATTTCTATTTTTTAATATGTTTTATAATGTTTTAATCTCACTTTTAAGAGGATAAAACATTTATGAATATGATGTATGTGAGAGAGTAAAAAACTTTATTAGGTCGCTAACTCTAAAAGTTGAAAGTCTGTCTTTTTGCTTATACTATACTAGTTGATTTGAATTTTGGGCAATAGGTAAAGTAAAATTTAGGGAGCTTTATATATAGAGGCAAAAACTTTCACTATATTTTAAGAAACTCCACTAGTTTTTAAACATGTCAAGGAGAGATAAAAACATAAAAATAATTAAATAAAAACAACTAAAACCTAACCCAAAAACATGGAAACAATGTTTTAAAATACTAGTCATACTCCTAAGGCTTTAAAGCTATTAATAGAACACAATCCTCATAACTCTAACAAAATTAATATGTGTCATAAGCTCAACCCATCCTCGACTATTTCTGTAGAATTAGTTTTGAAATTATATGTAGAATCAATTTGTATCCTTTATTACTATAATCAACTCAACCCGTCCTCAACAATTTTTGAGAATTAGTTAATCAGTCATCGATTATTTTTGCAGAATCAGTCCAACCTGTCTTCGACCATTTTTGCAGAATCGGTCCAACCCATCTTCAACCATTTTTGTAGAATCAGTTCAATCAGTTATTGACTATTTTTGCCGAATCAATTTAACATGTCCTCGACCATTTTTGCAGAATCGATTCAACACATTTTCGACCATTTTGCAGAATCAATTCAATCAGTCCTCAACCATTTTTACAAAATCAGTTCAACCTGTCTTCGACTATTCTTGTAGAATCTGTTCAATCAATCATCAACCATTTTTGTAGGATCGGTTCAATCAGTCTTAGACCATTTTTGTAGAATGAGTTCAATCAGTCATCATCCATTTTTGTAGGATCACTTCAATCAATCTTAGACCATTTTTGCAAAATCAGTTCAACCAGTAACTATAACCTTACGTGAATGGTATCTTTTACCCGTTAGTAGAGCAAGTGGTTAAGGAGTTTTTTTTTTTTTTTTTTTTTTTTTCTACTAAGGTTCTTTACCCACTTAAGGTGCTTTATAAAGAGGGAAATGACTTCAACTTGTGTATGCATGTATCATTCCTTTCACATAAAAGATAACGGTTTCTCTATAACAGAATGAATATGTGAAAAACTTATACATCAAATATTAAAATCCAATCAATTCAACCTCCAAAAAAAAATCTGGAGGTCCTAAACAAAGCATCTACACCATTTATAATTCTCTGCACTTTTCCTCTCTGCTTTCGTAACCAAAACAAAGCATCTACACCATTTATAATTCTCTGCATTTTTTTAATGTGAGCCTAAAGGCATAGATTGCCTTTCACCGTTTTTTGTCCGCCACTGAAAGCTAAAAATGGGCAAATTGAAATTGGCAACAAATTCAACAATTAAACAAACAAACAGACAGATTCAGACATACAAAAGATTATTGAGGAATAAGGAAGTAGTAGAAAGAATTGAGGAGGAGGAGGAGGAAGGTGGCTCCAGCCTCCAGGCTCTGATCATGTCTGCGAATTGAAAGTCAATCAGAAACAGAAAATTTTAATGCAAATCAAGCTCTTTCTTCTTTTATTATTATATATATATATATATATATATATATATATTTTTTTTTTGTCACGAATCAAATCCCTCGTGACTTGGTTTTCCACTTCGATTGCAGCTTCAAGTTGGGCAAGGTGTGATACAAGCGAACTCGATCAATACCCTCCAGAGAATTGTAGGCCTTGTCAGCAAAGAATGGTTTGGCGTTTAGGTATTTTTGCAACTTACGCTTCAAAGAAAAAATGCCAATGATGTCATATATTAATTTTTGTTTCTCTTTGAAATGTTTAAAAAATATTCTCTTAATAAAAAAAATTAAGTATTAAAAGTATTCTCAGTGTAATTTCCATCAAAATTTATCTAGAAAGTCTCATAATAAAATAAATCAATAAAACTTAAATGTTTTTAACTTTACATAAAATAATAATACAATAATACATATTTTATATACAATATATACCCTACAGTTGTTGTATTTTATAATAAGTTTTTTCAGTAGTTTAATTTAAAAATTATCTAAATAATTTTTTTGCATAATGGGTCGAAATGGATTATTCATGGATTACCCATGTGTAAACCCATTAAAGACTGTTATTAACGGGTTCTTAAAAAGTAACTCGACCACGACCTGATTATTTATTGTGTCAATTTGAAATTCGTTATTTTTGTATCGTGTTAATGAGTTATATAAGAGATTACCAGGTCTATTAAACTGTCTCTAATAATGCGATTTTCTATTCAAAAGCATGAATGTCATGATCGATCTTACAAAATATCTCAACTTTTTCGTCTTCTTTGTTTTAATAAAGATTCGATTGTGATGTAAAGTTTCTCTAATAATGCGGCCTTCTGTTCCAAAAGAAAAACAGGAAATATAGAAATAATGAAAGAATAGGCCTTTGCAGCTTTGATCTTTACCAAAAGCGCCTTTACAGCTTTCATCTTTGCCAAAAGTAACAGCTTTTTCTTTTTTTTGTTTTAATAAAGATTCAATTGTGATGTAAAGTGTCTCTAATAATGCGATCTTCTATTCCAAAAGAAAAAAAAGGAAATATAGAAATAATGAAAAAATAGGCCTTTACAGCTTTCATCTTTACCAAATGCGCCTTTACAGCTTTCATCTTTGTCAAAAGTATGGATGTCATGATCCATCTTTACAAAATATCTTAACTTTTTCTTCTTTTTGTTTTAATAAAAATTTGATTGGAAATTTTGCGCGTACACCACTCGGACTATTATGGTTTCTGTAATTATCTTCTAAAAGAATCTCTTTTGACAACTAACAAAGACTCAAAACAGTCGAAAGGGCAACAACACCAATACATAGAAGCCGACCCAAATGAACAAAACTCGGAGACTGATCAACCAAACAACAGTCCCAAAATCACCAAGACACCTAATTCAACTCCTCAGCCAAGCGGTGGCCAAGGCAACCCATCCCTAGCGAGAACGAAGACCAGAAAATTGGTGGACCTCAAATCAAAGATTCCATACACAACTTCCTCCTAGCAAGCGTCACAACACGGACTTGGGGTAAGATTACATTGGCTACTGCTCATCCGCATGCATACTTGCATTGAAGTTATTTGTACATGCAAATTTTACCTTTGAGGCTGTCAATTGAAATGACGAAAAATGTTATTGAAAAGGCTCGTGTGCGAGGCATGTGTTGTTTGTACATAATTTCTTTCCAAAATTTATGGAGGAGGTAATTCATACTAAAGTAACGTATTGATCGTATTATTTATGAAAATTAATAAAGGTTGTAAATTCACACTAAAAATAGAGTTTGAGTGGTTAATTCGCAAAAATAAAATGGGTGGTATTCTTGTAGGTAAATTATTAACTTGCAGATTTATACACATATAGCATATAATTGTTAAGTCAGATTCTTAGGGTTAGTTTGTGCATACTTTCTTTCAGAAGTTCAAGTAGCACGGAATGTTTCATACACAACAATATTTTATATATGCTTTATTTTATAAGTGGGTTTAATATTTTATTTCTGGGTAAACATGGGTTTTACAGTAACTAAGTTCTAATGATAAGGGAGGAAAATTAATGTCTTATTTCTTTTGATGCGGTAAGAATTTTATGAAGCAATGGAGGGAAGTAGCAAATTTTAAAAGATTTAGGTAACTTCCTGTCGAATATTATAGTAATTTTCTGTAGCTTTTCGCTGAAATTTTCTTAATTTTTCATTATCAAAGAGTAGGAAAGCTTCTGGGAAAGTATGAAGCAACCCAAAAATAGTATTCATGAAGTTAATGCAGAACCAATTGTGCAATGCATTTTTTGATCTCTCTTTGCTACAAAATGATGGATTCTCAATTATTTTTTTTCCGTTAATGGGGAATTATCAAGTCTATATCTTCATTATTTGAAAGGGAGAAGAAACAACAAACAAACCATCTCATTATTCGAAGAAACAAATAAGATCTTTGGTTGACTTCATGCATTTGCTTTTATGATGTAAATAGTGTAGGGTGTATCTAAAAAATTTAAGGTGTATGTTGAGAGTGTGAAGTGTGAAGGTATTATGAAAAAATATGTGCGGTGTATGAAAATAAATTCGAATTAAAAAAATTAAATATGAAACGTATTCAACAATATGTGGGGTTCTAATCTAACAAGTCTTTCTTTTATTATTTAAATTGAGAAAATAAGCACTAATATTCAAGATTTATTGCAATCCTTAATCAAATTAATGAGGTTTTTTAGACAAAATAGTCTCTGAAATTTGCATAATTCCTCACTTTGGTCCCTAAGATTTGAATTTGATAGAATTGGAACTTGAGTTTGTCCACAATCAATCATTTTGGTCATTCCATGAAAAATCTCCATAAAATAATAATAATAAAATGAAAAATTTGTCAAATCATTTTGGCCTATTGTTTATTGAATTAGGGTAATTTTGTCATTTTGATCCTTATTTAACATAATTTTTCACTGAATGACCAAAATGATTGATGGTGGACAATCTGAAGGACCACTTTCATTGATTCAAATCTCAGGGACCAAAGTAAGAAGTTATGCAAATCTCAGAGACTATTTTAACTAAAAAGCCAATTAATGATGTCATTCAATTTCAAAAAATAAAATAAAAGTTCTTGTATTTGAAATTAATATGCAATGAATTTATAACTAAAAGTTCTTGTGTGGATCCTAATCACTAGATTTTCTTCAAGTAAACAAATTATGTCAGGTTTTACGTTGAGAAAATTAAATTTGAGGAGCTAAAATCATAATTTCATAATAAATTATAGAAAATGATGAATAGTTGACCGTTAATTGTACAAATCCAATTGAATAAAGAGCATGTGAATGAGGAGGAAAACAGAAGAGACTTCTCCAGTTAACCAGTTTAAACTATAAGAGCAACAAAAGTTGAAAAAGAAAGCTAGTTTAATTATTTTTTCTTTTTGGCAGAAGCTAGAAATATGGCTGAGGCGGTAGTTTCAATGGTAATCGAAGGGCTCAAAGGCAATCTCGTTGAGGAGGTGAAGTTCTTGAGCGGAGTTGGCGATCAAATTAAGCATGCACAAATTGAGCTACTTTTGATGCAGGGCTTTCTGAAAGATGCAGATGCAAAACAAGAAGACAATGAAGTAGTATGCATTTGGGTTCAAATTATAAGAGATGCTGCTTATGATTTGGAGGATGTCATTGAATCTTTTGCTTTGAAAGTGGCTCTCAGAAGGGGAGGAAGCATGAAGCTTGTTCTGAAAAGGCTTGCTTGCATCTGTAACGAAGTCTATAATCGTCACAAGTTCGGTTCAGAAATTGAGAGCATTACGACCAAACTTTCCAAATTGAGGTCGAGTTTGCAAGGTTATAACATCAAGCAAATAACGGGCACACAATATGGAGGTGCCACTTCTTTTGAGAGGCAAAAGGTTCAAAGGGAAACTTATCCTCATGTTATTGAACGTGATGTTGTCGGGTTAGAGAAGGACATTGAGATACTAGTCACGCAATTGGTGAAAAAAGAAAAATGCCCCCAAGTTGTATCCATTTGGGGGATGGGCGGTTCAGGAAAGACCACTCTTGCAAAACAAGTTTATGGTCACAATGAAGATGTTAAGCGTCACTTCGATTGTTTTGCTTGGGTGTGTGTGTCACAACAATTTCAAGAAAAAGAGGTTTTGGAAGATATTTTGAACCAGCTTATTCGCGACATCAAAGATAAAACTAAAGAAATGAACAAGAATCAAATAGTAGAGAAGCTTTGTAGCATCCAAAAAGAAAAGAAATGTTTGGTGGTTCTTGATGACGTTTGGACTCGTAATGCGTGGAACTCTTTAAAACCTGGATTTTCAAGAGGTGCGGAAACAAAGAGTTGTATATTGCTCACCACTCGGAAGAAGGACGTTGCTAAAATTGCTGGAGAAAATGGTTTTGTTCATGCATCTCGTGCACTAGATGATAAGGAAAGCTGGGAATTGTTTAAGAAGATAGCAATTTCTGGGAGAGATCAAACAAGTATGTTTCTCACTTCTCAGTCAACTCTGTTATTATTAATTGTTTTTTTTTTTTTGGTTTATTTGTTAAGCCTAAAAAAATAGAGATTACTGTTTTTCACTTATAATGAGTTTGATATAGTACACACATCATTGTCCCTATGTGTCATGCACAGGACCCAAGTTGCTGGAAAATTCTGAATCCCTAATGCAACCCAAAAGTAAAAAATAAATAGAAAAAAAAAAAAAACTGAAACGGACTAAAAAATAAATTCTTCTTATAAAAAGAAACTCAAGAACTCTTTACATGGCTACAAAGAAAATTAATTTAAACTTCTAACCTCACTTCTAATTCAATCTCATCCCGTCTACCCTCTTGACTGTCTAATTCCAAAACTTGCATAATAGAGGGGTGAACTTCAACAACTCAGTAGGGACATAACTTTGCCACATTAAATTGACTAAATTAAATTAAGTGTCATGGAATAATTTAATCAAATATATGTCCCTCATCAAAACCAATGCATGAATGCAATGCAAACTGTTCGTCTATTTCCATTAATTCATATAATAACGCATGCGGACCTGAACGCCCAATACTTGGTATTTTACCACTACAGTGGTGGTTAGAATGTTCCTTCATACAAACTTACTCACATAACACAGTCATCCTAATTTCTCTTTTTGTTAGTCATCTTATTAACTCTTTGTCATCAATCTCAATTTACCCGATAAAATCATGTGTACATCGGGTTGACCTAAACTCAACTTTACAAAGACATGTCATTTCATCTTTCACATATATCAGAATGCTTTTTAACAATTCCACAACGAACAACAATAACATTTCAATAAACCAAAGATGCACAATATTAACATTCAACCACATTGATTACCCAATAAGGTCAAATATCACTTCATGAAATTTAATAAAGCCAATCTCCATAAATGTCTATTGTATTTTCCCTACCTGAAGTCCAAATCAAAGCTTATGCCACCGTTATGTCACAGTGCACCGTTGCTTAGTTTTTTCTCCAATAAATTTGAAATTCCTAGTTCCATAAAACTAAAAGAAATAAATACGTAACTATATAATCCCTATACAGCAACCAGGAACTTAGTCCTCTATTTCAAAACTCTGGGATTCCTGTGTTACCATTTAACGTCCTTTAACATAATTAGGACCTGTAAACTGTATAAATTCACTTAGGTCCCCAAATAAATCTCACATTTCTACACGCTGCCTTGCTGGACAAATAGCAAGTTTCTGTGCAATTGAATTTCAGAAATCAACCCCAAAATTTTGGGTAATTACAGCTCTACCCTCAAATATCTGAAAATTAAAAAATTGCTCCAGAACTTCAATAAATCTTACAATAAGGACCTAGTAAGCCTTACAGTAAGGTCCTAGCTGCAGGAACTGTACAACAGGGGTAAAATTCCATATTCATTCTTCCATTTTCATAATCACCATTATAGTCCAAGTTCTACTTCCGTTTTGTCAATCATACTACATAATTCAATCCATCTCACCAAATTTTCACCAAAATGAGATTCAACAACAAAACAATTCTAGATATTTAAATCAAGCCTAATAGGATCAACTGAACATAAACACTTTAAATCGAACATTAAAGTTTATTTAGTGATAAATCCCCTATATGGCAACATTTCGAAATCTGTAGCAAACTCAGAAATTCCTACCTTAGATTGTAAATTGTAATACTCTTATCCAGAAATCCGTAAGCGAAAACGAAATCAAATTTGGTGAAGTACATAAAAGATTATAATAGAAAATTTGATTTTAGTGTTTCAGTGAAAAAAATAACCTTATCTGTATGGAATTATTATTGTCACTCTAAAACTTTGCTTCGCTTCGACAAAGAAGAAAAACAATCAGGTTTTATAATTTAGATCAAGTGTACCGCACTGCTTCAAAATCAGGTCTTATAATTTAGATCAAGTGTACCGCACTGCTTCAACTCTCTTTACTACTCGGTCCAAAGACAGCCTGTCAGGTGTCCAACTGAATAAAACTGGATCTCTCTTACTTTGTCTTCTCTTTTGGGAGAGAATCCTCTCCAGACCCAATCCCTTCGGATCCTCCTCCTTCGTCTATTTTTCTTCTTCTTCCTCACCTCCTGCAATTCTTCTTCTTCTTCAATAATCCTTATTCTTCAATTATGAGTCTTCTTCTCACTTTTTTTATTTGTTTATCGCAAAACTTCAAAACCACAAGTTGGCGACGACTATTACGTTGCCGATAACTAGCTCTGGGAAGGCCATAACGTTGACTTCGGGGAAGCACGATGCCTTTAAAGAAGAAGGATCCGGTGGAATTGGGTTCTAAAAAAATAATTCAAAAATGCCATGAACTTGTAATTCGTCCACTTTCATCTCCTCACTTAAAAATTAATCTTTTAACCTAAAAAAAACTTACTTATTTTCTCACCTATTTCAAATTTAAAGCCCAACGGTGGTGGAAATGTGATAAGTCCTTACATAACGGCGTGAGTTCAAACTCCGTCGGTAACTAATCTAACAAAATCTACCGTTTAACAAAAATAAAAAAATAAAAAAAATTTAATGCCGACCACAAATGGTCAAATTCGAAGAAACTTTCAAATAAAATTTCGGGGTCTCACAATTGGATACACTGATTGGCCTGGACAAATTTTAGGGATTGGCTTGAAAAATATTGATGAGAGGTAAGGTCATTGTCCCAAATCGCTAAGAAAATTGTTGAATGTCTAGGTATTAGTTTGAGACATACTCTAGTTTAAATCGTCCAAGATGGGTGTTAGTATTGGTGCGCAGCGCCTGTTTAGGTTTAGCTAAGTAGCTAAATATTATGGGAGTTTTAACGAAAAGTCTACGGTACTGTTCACTTTAACGAAAAACCATATTTTTACACTAAAAAGTCAATCCTGGTACTATTCCTTTTACCCTTTATTTTGTCCTTATTGTTAAAACTCAAAGTTTTCAAGTCATTTTCATTAATTTTTCTAAATATTTTTACTTAATATTGTTGTTGCTACCAAAAAGTCTAAGCAATGATGTTTCTATGGGTGGAGAGGTTACTTCTAACGTTCCATGACGAATAAAAAAAATGCATGTTGTAGAATGCCCTTGTGCCGAGTCTGCCGACCCCTACACCCATAACTAAAATAAGTGACTTGTTTGAGAGCAGCAACAGAGCAGGTCGTGAGTTGCTCTCTCCCTTGTTATCAAACCAAAATTCTAATTACTTTACTTCATAAATCTTGTACACTAGATGATAAGAAAAGCTGGGAACTGTTTAAGACGATAGCAATCTCTGGAAGAGATCAAACAAATATGTTTCTCACTTCTCAGTCAACTCTATTATCATTAATTGCTTTTTATTTATTTATTATTTGTTAAGCCTAATAAAATAGAGATTACTACATTTCACTTATGCTTTCGATATAGTATGCACATAATTGTCCCTAATCATTAAATGTAAGGTGCGTTTGTGTCACACACCAAACCCGAGTCGGTGAAATATCCCGAATCCCGAATGCAAGCCAAAAGTTAAAAAAAAAATATATATATATATATATATATATTAAATAGAATAAAAAAAAAAGTTGGAACAGAGTGAAAAATAAATTCTTCATATAACTTGGAATAGATTCATCATATTTCCATTGAAAATTCATTCGAGCTCTATGAACTCGTAATCTTGTTCACTTTCATCTTATCACTATTAAAATAATTCTTGAAAAAAATTATTTAAGTTCTTACCTATTTAAAAACCAACGACGAATTGTCAAATCCAAAGAAACTCCAAAATTCTTCAAAAATAAAAAAAAACACTTTCTAAGCACTACAAAGTTTCAAAGTTTCACGGTTTGATACACTGGATTAGCTTGGATATGACTAATTGTAGGGAGTGGCTTGGAAATATTGATAAGAGGTGAGGTCATTGTTCTAATCGATCGCTAATAAAATTGATAAATGTTTAGGATATCATCCAAAAAGCGTGTCAGTGTTGGGTTGGGTACAGCGTCTGTTTAAGTTTAGCGGGAAGGGATCCCATCCGGATCCCAACGGTGGAGATCCTAGGGATCCTCATATCCTAATTGTTCATTATATACCATGCGATCAGTTTTCGTCAGATATTATTTGTGTTTAATTTTAAATAATAAAATTCAAATGATATCTGACCGAACGATGTACAATGAACGGCTAGGATATGTTTCTGTGCAATTGAATACCAGAAATTAACCCCAAAATTTTGGGTAATTACAGCTATACCCCTAAACTTCTGAAAATTATAAAATAGCTCCAAAACTTCAACCGATCTTACAATAAGGTCCTAGTAAACCTTACAATAAGGTCCTAGCTGCAGGAACTGTACAACAGGGGTAAAGTTCCACATTCATTCTTCCATTTTCATACCAAGTTCTCACCAAAATCAGATTCAACAATAAAACAATTTGAGATATTCAAATCAAACCCGCAACATGATCTCTAATTCTCAACTAAATTTCCAATAAGATCAACTCTACATAAACACTTTAAATCATATAGTGATAAATCCCCTATATGGCAACATTCGAAATCTGTAGTAAACTCAGAAATTCCTACCTTGGATTGTAAATTGTAATACTCTCCTCCAGAAATTCATAAGCGAAAACATAATTGAATTTGGTGAAGTAAATAAAAAATTATGATAGAAAATTTGATTTGGGTGTTTGATTGAAAGAAATAATATTATTTGTAAGGAACTATTATTGTCATTCTAAAACTTTTTTTTACTCTTTACAATAAATATAAAATTTATTTTTTTACACATAACAATAAATTTAGAATGTCAATAACAATTTTCTAACGCTAATGTTTATGCACCCTTTGTTTCAACAAAGAAGAAAAACAATCAGGTCATATGTTTAGGATCAGGTGCACCGCACCGCTCCAACTCTCTTTGCTACTCGGTCCCATGGCAGCCCGCCATGTGTCCAAACGAATAAAAACTGCTTCCTCTCTTGCTTTGTTTTCCCTTTTCTTTCAATCCTTACATGGATAACCATGTGTCGACACACCACCATAGCAGCTGTCACATGACATGTCAGCCACTCTTAAGCTGTCTTATGGCCTTGCAAAATTGTATTAAAATTCGCTGGGTTCCCAAAAATACTTAAGCTGTCTTAGTAAGACATTTTCTAGTTTAAAATGAAAAACATGCATGTTGTAGAAAAGCCCTTGCGCCGAGTCTGCCGACCCCTTCACCCAAAACTAAAATATAGATTGTTGTTTGAGAGCAGCAACAAAGCAGGTCTGATATTTACGTTCTACGGCAAAAAACATTCAACAACCCAAAAGGACAGTGACAAAATATATAAAATATATTAGGAATGACTAGAACATAACTGTTAACCTATTTTTCTTACATTTTTTTTTTTTCAGACTCTGAACTTTATGCTGAGAAGGAAAAACTAGGAAAGAAGATGCTTGATCATTGTGCAGGTCTACCATTAGCCATTACTGTGCTTGCGGGACTTGTAGCTAGAAAAGTCACAGTTGAGGAGTGGAAAACAGTATACGAGAACGTCGATGTGTATATACGGAGAGGAACTAATCTTGACCAAGAATACAAAGGAGATCAAGAATATGCAGGTGCATTAAGGGTGTTGGCATTGAGTTATGACGACTTACCATATCGTCTAAAACTATGTTTTCTATATTTAGGCCACTTTCCGGAGGATTACGAGATACCGGTCAAAAGATTGGCTCAGTTATGGATAGCAGAAGGTTTTATATCTTCGGGCTCCCAACGACATGGTTCAGTGGAAGTATTGGAAGATGTAGCATATGCTTGCTTAATTGAGTTGGTGGAAAGATGTATGGTTCAAGTTGGAACATTTGGTTCAACTAAGAAGATCAAAACATGTGATCTTCATGATCTTATGCGAGACTTGTGCTTGGTAAAGGCAGAAGAGGAGAACTTTCTTCACGTTGTAAATTTTACCAAGGCAGCGACAATTCCTCAAGTTCGAAGACTTGGTGTATATCTGGAGGAAAAATGGGTTGATAGATTTGCTCCCACAAGAAATGACCACCTTAGGTCTTTGTTATTCTTTGTCGACCCAGAATATGTATTCTCCAAGTGGAAGAAAAATTTCTTGCGGTCAGTAGTATGCAACTTCAAATTGCTCAGGGTTCTAAAGTTAGAAGACACAAGGGGGAGAGAAGTAGAGTTGCCGGGTAATATTGGGAATCTAGTCCACTTGAGGTTTTTAAGTCTAAGGGAAAGTGATGTAATACGGTTGCCATCATCTTTAGGTAATTTGGTATGTTTGCAAACTCTAGACTTACGTGTGTTTCGTACATGGTTGAAAATAAAAGTACCAAATGTGATTTGGAAGATGAAAGAATTGAGGCATTTATATTTACCCAGGTTTGGGTACAGAGGGAAGTTGAAGTTGGCTACTCTTGGGAATTTGCAGAGTTTAGTCAATGTTGCAGGTGCTGAATGTGATTTGACTCATCTTGCTGAATTGACCAATCTCAGAAAACTGTTGATAATAAAAGTACCAAATGTGATTTGGAAGATGAAAGAATTGAGGCATTTATATTTACCCAGGTTTGGGTACAGAGGGAAGTTGAAGTTGGCTACTCTTGGGAATTTGCAGAGTTTAGTCAATGTTGCAGGTGCTGAATGTGATTTGACTCATCTTGCTGAATTGACCAATCTCAGAAAACTGTTGATAAGAGGTGGGGTGAAAAATCTGGAGGAAATGTTGAAATCTACTGGCATCACATTTAACCATCTTCGATCTCTATCTCTAGAGGTGGATGATGATGATGAAGGTATACCAATGAATATGGTATTGAGTTGTCCTCATATATACAAACTTGAATTGAGGGGAAGAATAAGAGAACAATCATTGGAATGTCTCCAGGGTTATGAGAACCTCACTAAGATGTCGCTGTTGTTTACTGGTCTACAGTTGGAGAGTCTCAAAATACTTGAGAAGATCCCAAACTTAAGAATGCTTTGCCTTGGTCAAGACGCTTTGGAGAATGTTGTCTCAGAAGTAGTTGTCTCAGAAGAAGGTTATCCTAATCTTGAATTTCTTGAACTTTTTAATTTGAGGGGATTAAAGAGTTGGAGCATAGAGAAAGGAGGCATGCCTAGTCTCCGCAGATTGTCTATTTCCTTGTGCAGCCAATTGAGGGCAGTTCCTGAGGGGCTTGAGAATGTTACTACCCTCAAGGAATTAACAATTGATTGGATGCCTAAGAGATTCTGTAGTAGGGTTGGGGAAGGAGGAGAGGATTTCTACAAAATTCAACATGTGCCTTCTCCTCTCATTGCACATATTGAGGAGGATTGAGAAGTGGATTACGTAACTGGTAAGCATGCTGCTACTTATATTTTGTTTGCTATTTATCTGTTTCTCAGGGGTAAAATCATAATGTGTTTCTTTTATCTTTTCCGGTTGTTCCTTAAAGGAGAAAGTGAAGGGGAGTGAAGTGTGGCAAAGGTGGCGAATGCTGCTGGGAGGGAAAGGCCAATCTCGCAAAATTAGGTGAAGATTATGTTGTTAATAATTGAAGGCAGTTGGCGTATCCATGTGTTATATCATATGATTTGCTTAATTTCTCTTTGTTTAATACTTAGAAAACTGTAAGCCATGGTCATCTGTAATCTATGCAAAAACAGTTGTCGATAGTATGACGCCACAATAGTTGCTAATAACATGTGCAATCGACTGCAAGAATAGGTTTTCGATAATCGTTTTGTAATCTATGAAAAAAATCATCAAGGTTGTCGCAGGATGACCTACCATTTCATCAATTCACAAAAAATTTGGACCCAAAAACATTAAGAATATGAAGAAATAAAATCCTGTTTCTATCAAGAATATTAAGAATATGAGATGGATACACATATACAAATGTTGCGATCTACATTAGCTCCGAATGCGATAGTATCAATATTGGGGGAAACATAAATAGAAAAATTCATTTTATTTTTATACTTCCACTTATCATTCTAAACTACTCATCTACAAGAAATAAAAGGACAATCATAATTATTTTATCATACCAAGCAAAAAGATTAAGCTAAAGCAACATAGCTTTCCAATCATTAAAAATAGCTTCAAAAGAACTATACCAAAACTCTGAAGATCCCGGCACCAAAGGGATACCCAAATCAAACCCAATACCACAAGTGATCCACCTCCTCCCCCCTTTCTCCCTGAAAATTACTCTCATTACTCTCCCTGTATACCACCCAAAAAAGTGGTAAAATGTAAAGTCCTTATGCAAAATGATAGACACAAGCAAGGGCGGAGCTAGGATTTTTCAAAGGGTTGGGCTAATATTATTCGAGAAAAGGGGAAAAAATTAAAACCGAAGACAACAAATTATTTGATCAAAACACCACCAATTATGGCTTGAAAAGGCTTGAAAAGGGGAGACTGTAGAAGAAAAATGGAATGATAATCAGTTTAAGGCTAATTTGCATTAGTTTAATGAGCTTTGATTGGACTCATTAAACTACTAAAACCTGGGCTAAATCTATTTAAATCTGATTTTCATAGGCTAAAAATAGAAAAAAAAACTTAAAACCATGGCTGTCAAAAACTGATTGGGCAATAACTGCCCTGTGCTACAGCCCAGGGAAGCCTAAACACAGCTCTGCCCTTGAACACAAGACAGACACCACACACACACTCTCTCTCTCTCTCCCACCTCCTACCACCACACCCCCCCCCCCCCCCTCCCAAAACACACACACAAAAATGGAACTAACTTGTAGGCCAGACAGACATGGCTCATGACATCCTGCACCATTCTTGCATGGTTTATAACTCTTCGAAAACCATGGGTACCAACATTCAATTTATAAGGTTCTACCCTGCCAAACCTAATGCAGTTGCTTCAGTTAAGTAATTATTTCAAGCTGCTCTACTTTGAGATTTCATCTGCTTTTCTAACAGCAGAAAGGATCCCTATTTGCTGAGTATTCTGGTCAATGAAATCCGTCTTTCCTTGCTTCATGGCTCAGACAACAAAATGATAGTTCAGCATTACTGTTTGTTAGGAAGCTCAAAGTCTTTATTACGCTAATGCAATATAATCGAGTTAACAAAGATATGATTCCAGATGGACCTGATTCCAATATTAAGATATACAAAACACAATACAAAGAGATGGCACAACTAGAAGTCTCTTACTAATTGTTTGCAAAGTATTTAACATATTTTCAGCTCTCCTCAAATCCCATTTTTGATGGAAATCAAATCCAAAGCTATACTTTGTTTGAGTGACAAGTCATATGCAAATGTTACTATGCTCTGAGATTGCTTCATAGCAGCAGATTAGACTAATATGAAGATTGCAAATAATCATTTCAAAAACAAAAAGGCAGAGCCTGAGAGATTACCTGCCCATGATAGACAAACGAGCCATATGCCAATGCAAAAACAGCCACAACAACAGTCCCCAAAATCGAAAGCTGCCAGAAACGCCTCACCAATCCTTTCCAACAATAATGCCTCAACAAGTAACCAAAAAAACTGGTGCCATGACCGCAAACAAATGCTAACAAGCCCATCCATCAAGTTCCTCCCTCCCTCCCTCCAAACACGAAAACGAAATCAATAAAATCCCAAGCAAAAATCCATTGTACTGGAAATGCAAATGGTCCACAATCCCACAAAGACTAGTAAAACTAGCCAGTGAGAGCAGAGTTGAGGGCACAATACACATCAACTCCAATCTGGGCTTCAGCTTTCTAAAAGTCAGTCGACGCTGAGTTGAGCTTGTGGGTGAACTCTGCAAGCCCCTTTTGGACAAGACTTGCATCGGCATGATCAAGAGGGACAGACTCTACAGAAATTATTTCTGCAATAGAGTTGGCGTGGATGAATGCAAAACCACCGCTGAAGAAATGTTCTGTGACGTCAGTTCCTTCATGTACCGACATGACCCCGGGTTTCAACTCGGCAATTGTTGCTACATGTCCAAGAAGAACACCCATATGCCCAGTGCTTGCTGGGATTATTACCATGTCCACCTGTTAAGATATGAATCGTAAAAAGCAAAACTTATGGGGTACAAATATCATCTCAGTATTTATGTTTTGGAATCTGCAGATATATAATGAAATGCAAACAAAACTTATGATCCTTGCCGTCACATCTTTGGGTTATTGATCACACAATCAACAGATATAGTTAACGCTAAAAAGTTTCTGTCTCAACATAGTCATTATGTTTGGCAACTGACATGGTGACCCTCACCCACTAAAAAAAAGTTGACTGTTACATTATTGAATTCTGTCAAAACAAGGGGCATATGTCGCTCGTCGTTCTTCAACAAACACTAGTATTTTTGTCGGGCAAAACCTTAGTTTTGGCACTAAAAAAAGGTAACAAGCACATTTTCAGAAATATGGTTTTGAAAGATATTAATCAGAACATGGACCATGGACCATGGACATGAATTTAACCACTCTCTACCACTCGACAGTTTGGGAAGAGACTTTGGGTCATAAGTCATAACATTGAATGAAGGAAAGACTTGAATTTTAATTTTTACTTTCTCTACAGGTGGAACTCAACTTCATGAAAGACAAAATTAAAATTAGTCATGCAGTGCAAGTAATCATTGTTTTTAGTTCCAATCCGTCAGAAGCAAGTTCTGCTAAAAGTTTCAGTTCTGTCTATCAATGTCAGAAATGCAGTGACAAAAGGATAGTAAAGAAGGTTCTAAATGATTGTCTAAGGCCAACACGAAATATGCAAGTCTTCAATGAAACTAAGGAGGACAACACAAATATTATAAAAGGAAGAGCATATTGATCTCAAAATACATCACCAAAACTTTTCTCATTTATGAAAAAGATTCATGTGGTTTTACAGGGAAAAATCCAAAGTTAGCTCCAAATGGGACAAATAAAACTAAGACACGTATAATATTTCAAGATTTACCTAACTTGCTTATGCACATGAGCAATGCATTACACAAATCATAGAGGTAGAAAACTAACAATTCAACTGCCAACGGGACCAGCTATGTTACTCAAGTCTGATTTCCATACCCATTTACCAATCAAAAGGACTAAAAGGAGTCACAGAGCTTGATGAAGGAGAGGAAATGGAATTAACACTGCACGTTTTCCATCACTAGTTGGAATTTTAGTTTTCATTACAAACAGTACTGATTTCTCATCAGATTGACAACTCTACAAACTTTTTGAAAGGAACATAATTTCCACATCCATTCACATGTGAATTTGAATTATATACTTTAACATTATACCATATGACTTATAAGAAAGAAAATGTAACACACAAAAAGCATCCTTACATACGCTAAACTGAGATGAAGTTCAGCCTACAACAATAACGAATGAAAACTAGGTGTATATTGCACCACTATAATCAGTTACAAAGTATTAACATATATTCAGCTCTCCTCAAAATCCCTTTTTTGATGGAAAACAAATCTAAAGCTATTCTTTGTTTGAGCAACAAGTCACAAGCAAATGTTAATATGCTCTGAGACTGCTTCATAGCAGCAGATTAGACTAATATGAAGATTGCAAATAACCGTTTCAAAAACAAAAAGACAGCCTAAGAGATTACCTGCCCATGATACACAAACGGCCCATATGCTAATGTATAAACAGCCACAACAACAGTCCCCAAAACCGAAAGCCGCCAGAAACCCTTCACCAATCCTTTCCAACAATAATGCCTCAACAAGTAAACAAAATAAACAGGCCGCGACCGCAAACAAATGCTTAGCACAACAACACAGCAAAAACAAGCCCACCCATCAAGTCCCTCCCTTCCTCCAAACACGAAAGCGAAATCAACAAAATCCCAAGCAAAAACCCATTGTACTGGATATGCAAACGATCTACAATAACAAGAATTGGCGACCAAACCACCAGAACTCAGATAATCTTTCCCTTCATCGAATCCGAATTCCTACTCAATTGATAAACCCCATACAAAAAGCACATACCCGATAAGATACCCGAGATTCTTTGGAAGTAGAGAACTGTGTTTGCGCTGGAGTTCAAGCCCTTTTGGAGGTGACTGATTTGTCGGTCGATGAGATTGGCGAAAACAGAAAGGAAGAGCTCGATGTAGGTGAAGAATGGCGGGCAGTCGAGGGTCTGTCCAAATGCTCATCTCGTCGGAGTACCAATGGGAAAGAGGCAGAGGTGGGTTGTAGCTAGCCAGTGGCGGTGGACCTCATAGTCTGTGCTTTTGTAGGCTAGGATTAGAAGCAGCTTTACGCAGGCGGCGATGGCGAATAACCCCCGTAGCTCTGTGATGAGGTTGCAGGGTTTCGGAGGGTTTGGGAGTTTCGAGGCGGTTTGAGCTTCCATGGAGTTGAAGATTCAGAGAGCAGCGAGGAATTCACCATTCTTGTAGTGAGACTAATTTTGCTCCACGAACATTGTTGGGAGAGCAATATTTTGACATATATGCCCTTGTTGACCGAATCCTCTTAGTAAATCATTTACTTTGTGAAAAAATTTCATGATCTTGGATTCAACTTTGATGTTTGTTTTGGTTATGGATAATCTTATCGATATTGTCCTCGAATATGAGTTAATTGAATCATGTTTCTTGTATATATGCGACCGAATTCAATTAAACACGTGATTACGTACGATTGTAGGAAAGTTAGTTACTTGTATGAATGCGATACTACGCACACTAACTTTATACCTAAATCACATCTCTAGCAACAACTTTAGGTCTATCCGACCTAATTAAGAGCATTGGTCCGCTCCTTGTTGTATGAATGGTACTACATCACCATATAAAAGACCTTATATTATCCTCATTTTGGAAGAACGTCGTTGAGTCTTAAGGATATTCGAGAAGACAATGGTCATGCATGAAACTAGCGATGAAAATAGAGTGAACTATTTTTGCACCACCTCTAAAATACAAAGCTCGAAGTTATATTTTGGGGCCAATGGACTGCCTCCTAAACTGGGAACACGCTATACGTGGTCGGCCTGCAGCCGAGTGATTCAAACAGTTTACTTGCCTTGGCACTACCGTTTGGGACATTTAGATCAAACAATGATGTCATGCCACATCTCCTTACCCGAAGTAAGGATATTATGCCTAAAATCACATTTTGCCAAGCCTACTCATTTGGGAAATTTGATTTCTATATCATCCTATACAAAAATACAAAATGACCCTCTTTTCACAGCGGATTTAAGGGAATATATGTATACTAATCTAACCAAAATGCAGACCATATAAATACTTATAATTTTGGTTGATGAATCGACAAACTGGTCACATGTTTGTCCACACACATTGCTGCTAAACCTTCTGGCCGATTTTAAGGGCTCGCCACCCTAAGTATCCTATAAAGTATGAAAAACTGGATAATGCCAGAAAATTTATGTCGAAGGTTTTCAATAAGTATTGCACATCTTTTGAGTTTATAATTAAACATCAAATTCTCATGTTCACCCCAAAACAGCCTCGCATGGTGATCATAAACCGCAATTTAAATGATCGCCAAACCTTGATGAACGCACCAAGATTTCGATTTCTCCTTAGGGCTATACAATTTTGTACGCAGCTATGTTGGTCCACCTTGAGGCCTATTGACACCTAACCATTTTCAACGTTACAGTAGGTTACTGGGTATAAACCTAATGTTTCGTACTTACGCATTTGGGTATGCATTCCAAGTGCTAAGTTGCTATGTCGCAACGTATCAATATGAGTCCTCACAAAAGGTTGTGAATCATTGTCGATTACAAGTCTCCTTCACACTAGCTCTCTTAGAGCATGTGCAAGTGATCTCTTTACCGCTATTTTGCAGATTGTTACTTAAATGAGATAGTTTTCCCGCCGTTTGGGAGAGATATGAATGTCAACGTTCCTATAGAATGACGCGAATTTGCATGGACGTTGCCTACTATGTCTCATCTCAATCCTCGTACTACACAAGTGTAATAAGCAAGTGTGTTGTATTCTAGCTTTCAAAATATTGCTCCAGACGCATTCCTCTGATCTAGCTAAACTGACAAAATCATATACCAGCTGCAATCATGTATGCAAGGATAGACGTACTTAACAGACATCGAGTCAACATCCCTGAAATGTGTGCCGCCCCTAGTAGACGGTTTGGCTGCCCCTGTTGAACGGTCCGATACATCAGCGGATAACCAATCAATATGTCTTGGCCTGAAGCACAACAAATCACTTGGTTCATAAGATTCACTTCCTTAGAAAAGGAAGGTCACGACACAAAATGAATCTATACTCAACTGTTGTCTCAATCATTTCCATCTCATGAGATTAATCCGGATTACTCTCGAGACTTGAAGTTCTTAGTCCAGTTTACTAGTTTGGATGAGATAATGGAATTGGAATGAGATTATCATTGATAATATTTTCACTTGTATGGTAGCTAATGACATAAATGAAAGAGACGATATTGGTCGTGTGTTCCTTTGATTAGTAACAACGTAGAATCGATTGGACAACTGAAATTACAATTCAGGTTAAATTCCTTACAAAGTGTGTTTGGACCTTTAGTTCCTACACTGCCCAAGGTAACCCTATTGTGTTACAAGTGGGAAAAGAAGCGTAATAAGATGAATGAAATAGTGCAAAGTACTGCATGCCTTACGACGCAAGGTTTCTCTCAAACACCCTATGATTGATTGCAACATTATGAAATGTGGTTAGTATTTCTCCATGGGGATATTGATACAGAGATTTACATGTAACTTCTTGAAGAATTACATGGATTGATTAAAATAGTTCCAAACCACGAAACACCCTCTTAACTCGTTTGAGGCGTTCACTTAGGCTATCTCCAACCGAAGGGTCAAAAAGGCCAGAGGGCTGAAAATAGCCAGAAAACTGTCTCTAACCGAGGGTTAGGCTAGAGAGCTCGTGGAATCTAAGAAGGTCCCACGAAATCTGAAAAGACCAAAAGGCTGGAAGGCTAGCTAGGTTGGCTAGAAAAATCATTAATCTTGTCGGTTATAACCGACAGGAATGCTTAAGCTAAAATTCAAATGCAACGGCTAGCTGACGTCAGCTAGTCGTTGCATTTTAATTTTTTTTTTTTTTACAGTTTTATTATTTTATTTACAAAAATTTTCCTACAACTTCTATTTTTTTTTAATTCTCTTTTTTTCCTATAACTTTTATTTTACAAAATTTGTTTCATATTTTTTTTTTGAAATTCCATTTTTTCCTATAACTTCTATTTCACAAAATTTGTTTCATTTTATTTTAAATTCTATTTTTTTTCCTATAACTTCTATTTCACAAAATTTGTTTCATATTCTTTTTAAATTTTATTTGTACTTTTTAAATTTAATTTGTAGTTTTTAAATTTAATTCGTCGTTTTTAAATTTAAGTTGTTGTTGGATTTGAATTTAAGTTGTTGTAGTTTTTAAATTTAAATAATAAATTATATTTGGCCCTTTGGCCCTCGGTTGGAGACGGTTTTTTGTGACAGAGTTAAAACGAGCCCTATGGCCCTTTAGCCCTCAGTTGGAGACGGAGACAAATATGGTCATATACTGTTCATTAAAATATTAATATCTTGGAAAGCCAGAGGGCTAAAACGACCTTATGGATTGAAGCAATCTGGCGGATGTGGTATACCCGTCTAAGTGATTATTTGACCAGTTAGGGATATGAACTATGCCCTTGAGTGTTAACTATGAAGTCTTATTCTGAATTGCTAAAGTTACAATTTATAATCTCACTAGGACTCTAAAAGAGTTTGAGAAAATTGTCTCGCACCTGAAGACGAAATTTGATATGAGGGATATTGGGAAAACTCATTTATGCCTTGACCTGAAGTTGAAACATTATTCTGACAGTACGTTGGTCTACCAACCGAGCTATACCCCGAAGGTGATACCTTTGAGTATACCTATGATATTCCATAGGCTATATGCAAATGAGACCCTTGAAGAGGTTATTGAATCTGAAGTTTTATATCTGAGTTCAACTTTGCGCTTTGTTATACTTAGCTCATTACGTTAAATAGGACATCTCATTCGTTGTTGATCTATTGGTAAAGATTCAGCACCGCGCCTACACACAACCACTGAATTGGTATTAACGATGTTTTTCCGCTACCTTAAAGGTACTACGGATTTGGGCTAATCCCAATGCATCCCAAAAAGATTTGACCCCTTTAATCATCGGAATGATGCTTGCCTTATTTGTTATGTTGATGCAGGTTACTTATCAAACTCGTACAAGGCACATCCCCAAAATGGTTTTCTTTACCATTAGGGAGATCGTAATATCTTGGAGGTCCACAATATGACCTTAGTTGCAAAATCTTCGAATCAATCCAAGACTTACCCTCACTTCGCCACATATGAGACATAGTTGAGAGCTCTTGTTGAGCATATTCGAAGTACTTGTTGTTTTCATCAATCGTTGAGTCCCAACAACGATCCATGAAGACTATGTTGCATGTATCCACCCAACCAAGACACGATACATTAATGACGTCAACGCTAAGACATATTGCGTCTACATCTACATCAGCAAAGCATCAGGAGAATAAGGTCATGCAAGCCAATCTAACACAACCTTGCCAACCTCTACACGACGTCATTGCCGAAGTTAACCTTCTAAAAGCTTGTCTAAGGAATTGGTATGTCTAACTATCCATATTCAATGCTTGTAGTTCTCATTTGGAAGTTTTGTCAAACTCAGAGGGAGTATCTGGAAGTATACTCACTTGATCTTAATGTACTCTTTTTCCCCACGTTTAAGAGCATTTTTCCTACTGGGTTTTTGCTACCTAACTAGGTTTTGACGAGTCACCCATCGTGTACTATACTTAATGCAACTTCTCTCTTTTCTCCTTAGTCTATAGGTTTTTATCCCACGTTGAGTTTTACCATAGCGAGGTTTTGTGAGTTTTATCTTTTATGCATTCCTTCGTTGATCTGAGACTCGCATTTGTTCATTGTGTCGATGACTTCATCACCTGATCTACTTCATCGTTGAAGACCTAATGCGCCATTTGTTTAAGTATTTACACAATCATGGGGAGTGTTACTATCCTATTATATTAGGAATGTGATCTTGTAAATCCTATCATATCTGGGATATCCTTATAGGATTCTACCATATCTCTTAGACAAAATATTATCCTATTAGAGTTGTAATCCTATTGGGGTAAGAAATTTACCTTCCCTACTATTATAAATAAAGGCACAATGGGATGGAATAACACACCTCACAATTACACATCTCTGTCTTTCTCTCTCTATGACCTCCATAATTATTCAGTAAATTATGTCTACAACAAATGCATTTTTTATTTTTTAGTTTTTTTTATTTTTTATTTTTTGCTTTTTTCTTGTTTTCTTTCAGTGAACTGCATTTGAAATGCGCTTGTTATAATATAACTTTGACTTCCTCTTTCATGCTAATGAGGCTATATAGGAAAAGTTTGTATCATTTTCTCCACAGGAGTACTTCAAATTCTTGAAATTCCCCTTCATTTTTCAGAAATCAAGATCTTGGAACCTAATTTTTTGCGTTAAAATTGTATCTGATGTACTTTTCGGATGGTAACCCCCGGAAGTTCAAAAAAGCTTGCTTGGGGCTGCTCTGTAGGCCGTCGATGGACCGACTACCAGGTACTTGGGTCATTTGGCGGAATGATTCGGGACATTCTTGCCCGAATTGGATATGCTCCATCTTCTTCTGTGAATATTCATTTTGTTACTGTTTTGGATTTCGTGTTGGAGTGTTTGGGGCAAGGAAAGTGGGCGTCATGGTAGTCTTTGTCACCGGTTGATCATTCTGCATTCGATGGAATGAGTAATGCCTGGTTTGAGTTGTTTTCTTTCTGTCATAAAAGTAGATACCTTTTCTCGGGAGGTTTTAGAGACCGATAAAGCAAATTATGTTCCGTTTGCAGTTGTCATGGCTGCCGCTAGAGTACTGAGGGCGTTATATAGATCTGTATTATCCAAAACAAATTGAGAATTCATTGTAAACAAACCGGTTTTAAAATATTGACCATAAATAACTTACTGCAGCTCCAATGATGGTGTATATGATGACAATGGTAACAGTAACAAACCCTGTCAGTTCTGCTAATTATCGCTATTAAACAATCATGTTCTAAACATAACCAAAACACTCTGAAAGCACAAATCTAATGGAGATATTATGTGGCAACCATGTAGCAAATAAAGAATCTTAACAAGGCCAAAGAACATAGACAAGTGAAGTGAAACACTCGTTTTCTTCCCAGAGCAAAAAACGAATACCATCCAAGGTTTTGCTTTCATTACCTACTAGCAAAGTATGTGCTGGTAGTTTACAACAATCTTCTAGTTTAAAGACGCATAACGCTAATAAAAAACAACTTGGTACACATGCCTGATCTGCCCCCTATCAAACGAAGATTTACTCCAAATGCTTGAATCTGAAAGTTGCTTTAGTCCACGAAACAAAATTAGGGCCTACCTGCAAGAATGGTTTTAAGGGCATCGTTTTATATTTACATTTTAGTTTTAAAACCAATTTAAAGCAAGCCACACACGGAAGAATTCTACCGGAAATTTTGTGATACTGAATCTTCTCAAACCTTCAGAGAAGCCTTGTGTACCATGGTTTCTTTGTGTATTTGGTGGCAGCTCTTCTCAACAAGATCAAGCAGTTTCTCCAAGTTCATAGCCCACGTATTCAGAACATTGTTGCTATCCTTTGCAGTTTGGAAACAGACTATTCCTACTGGCCTGTCAATCTTGGCCACTAGTGCCTTGGACACAACCATATCCGACAGATGCTTCTCAGCTTCCTGTATAGGAAGGGGGCAAAGCTATAGATAAAAATAGAATTGATAACGAAAAATCGCAGACTCCAAATAAGTCCAGCTATGGCATCCCAAAACCGTCAGATTATACAGATCAGACAGTTATCATATATAAATACGTTACATTATAATGATACGTTTACACATAGCGTCTACTAATACTCATTCCAAACTTTTTTTTTATGTCTATATAAAAAAAACAAAAGAGAAACCATTTATCAACCCATAGATTCTCACAATGAATTGCAATTACCTATGGATTTATAGATCACAAAAATAAGACACTTTGAAAAGAAAAGAAAAAAGAGTGCAGACAGAAAACGGACAATTGAGTGGAAGGACGGACAGCACAAGAGCCGTGAGATTTACCATTCTAAATTATGTGAATAGATTATAAAACTAATGTGTCATACTTCATTACAACAACTTATGTGTAAATCAGGCTTCGGGTGGGGTTGCTTTGGAAATTGGAATGTTAATTTAATTGCAACCGATTATAATTTACAGAAATGATCAACGCCCATTGCACTAACCTTTTCATTTGGACCTTCTCGCTTTATCAAATGCCATGCGTCATTTTTTTACACAAATAAAAAGACATTTAATGCCTTTGAAATCTTTTTCTTTTCATTTTTAATCCCTAGCCAAAAGCATTAAAAAGTTCTGTTTCTTTTTTCGTGTACAAAATGACAAATGGCATTTGATAGTGAGAGGGTCCAAATGCAAAGGTTAGCACAAAGGTTGTTAGCATTCCCCTTATATCTAAGCATGTTGCAACTAATCTAGACAAAATAATTTACTGTAACTAAGATTTCAATATTAAATGCAAATCATCATTTGCAAACCTGGATACTCAGACACAGCAACTCTGCAAGTCTTTTCAAGGTAATTCTCGAGTAGTTCTTTGAAACAACAAGTATGTTCTGAAAAAACAGTATCACATGTCAGAAACAAATTACTAACTGAACAGTTAAATAAAGAGAAGATGGGGATGCTTAGCAAAACTCTACATGTTCAATAATCCTCTGTCTCAGATCTTCAGCTGCTTTGTCACCCAAAGAGCCTCCAAGCATATTCTTCTCACTCTCAAACTCATCCTTGTATGTATTCCAAAGAGTGGTCCATTGTATGACCTCCATAGTTACCACCTGTTTCAACAGCAACCTATACAGCATAATAACAAAGGCAGGCATCATAAGTCAATGAAGAGCATATATTATATGTGAGCACACAAAGGGAGATGTGCAATAGATGCTATTGTTGAATAATACCTAAAATATGGAAGTTCAGAAAGATTCTTATCCTCCAATATGGAATTGAGAAGGCTTGACTGCATTGAATCGTATGGAGCCAGAACCAAGTACCAACAGATTTTCCTCAAGACCTAGAACAAAAGTATCAGAGAAGCTCAATATATTCCTACAATATGTGTGTGTGTGTGTGTGTGTTATGTGTGAGAGAGCTTTACCGGTATCCACTGGGCTGGATTCTCGTTAACAGAAGGAATATCGTATATCGCCTTGTAGCAACGGCAAATCTCAAGGTAATCATTGGTGTGAAAGTAATACCTACACAATCAGTAAGAGAACATCAGCAATTTAATTATTTAGACAGCCAAACAATTCGCACAATTATCCGGAAGCCATTCACCTTCTAGCATCTACAACTCCAAATGAGAAACATGGATTCATGGATCTAAACATAATCTTATACTAGAGCACCAATACAAAGTTTACCTATAAGGATAAACTCGTCAATAAATTTATATATAAAGCCAAAATCAGGGAACGGGAATGGAATATCTAACTTTCTTCGGGAATGCAACCCATCCCTATTTTCACTTTAAAACACAGAAAAGGAATCTCATAACAATTCCAAAGCGGCAAAACAGTGAATCATATACATAGAATAGGGATAAAAACACTCAATACCGTATCATTAATTCATAGTAGATCCGCTTCAACTCCAAGAGTGATGGTATATCAGCAGGAGCTTCTTCAACAACATTGTCACCTTCTTTAGGTTTTTTCTTTTCTTTTGAAGCATCAACATCAAAAACTCTGGGACTAATCTTCCTTGAGAGTATTTGAGCACGAACATAATCCTGACGATCTAAGCACAACCGAACCTGCAAAATTAATTACGCAGCATGGCTCATAATGAGAACAGACCTAATACATAAAGACGTGAATTTAATGAATGAATAGTGAATATAAAGTGTATTTTCAAAAGAATTAGACCCAACTTGTTCAAGAATGAAAGCAATCTTCTCAGTTTTTGCCATGGCACCAAAAGTTTCCACCTGCAAAGATTAACAATTAAAAATGAGTGCAATAAAATGCGTTCTCCTTTCTTTTTTTTTCAAGAGGGGGGAGTGGGGCAAGGGAAGATAATATTCCATACTGACCGCAATTTCTTGCATCAAATCAGCAGCTTCAGCAATAAGCCCTTGCTCTTCCTTAATCTTTGCAAGTCTCTTGATTAACCGAGCTCTCTCAATTTCAACATATATCTAATGAATAACAGTGCTCATCAGTACTTTAAACAAAAAATCATTTAAGTTGAAATCACATAATTTGAATGGAGGCAATTAAAGATTTTTACAATAAGTTTACCTTCCCAGCAGAAACATTATTCAGTGTTTTAATAAGCTCTACACGAGTTTCAATATCCGGTGTCTGATCAATGTATTGCATCGCTTGTTGGACCATTGCAGTTACAGCCTGCATGGAAACAAACAGCCCAATGAGCAATAACAATAAAAGAAAATTACTTCTCGGAATGCAATCAACTGCAACTTGGAAAACACATTATCACGGAAAGCAAATAATATAGTATATGCCGATATCCCAACCACAACAGTAATTTGCTGCCCTGGAAGGAAAAGAAATACCAGTAATACCAGTAACTCTTAATCTGTAATATTGACCAGAAATAATATATATATAAGGAATCATAAGACAAAGATAGTTAAGTACACGTGCATACATGATCAAAGCTCTGTTTCTCTTGAACAATGCTCAGTAGCACAAAAAATTAAAGGACAGCGATAACTAATTGGGCACTGTACTAGTACTATTTTAACAAAGACTCAACATTTTAAATGGATGGTTTCATTTGTAAACTTAAATATACACAATCACACAACAAAGATGTCAAAGAATACATTACCTGCTTGAGCTGACCACGACGTTTGGATAATACAACAATCTGATCATTGAGAGTCTTCCACGCACCCGCTTTAAAGCAGAGATCAAGAATGTCAATGGCGGCCTTCTTGGTTCCTGCTACATCACCAGCAAGCCTCATCTGCTTCTCTACATTCAGCAACTTCTCAATTTGGTAATCCAAATCACCTCCTCCTTCCTGAAATTCAACAATTCCACACAACACATATCGATTCAGGATCAGCAGAGACAATTATTAAAAGATTAGAGTTTTAGATCTGCGAAGAGGGGGTCCAAATGGCTTACCATTGTAAAGATCGAGTAGAAATGAAACACCTAGTCCTGGTATGGATGAAAGCTACCTGAAATAGTACCCGGCAATAAGATCATGACTAATGAAGCAAACATATTACATGACCAGATTAGTTTTAGTTCCACATTTTAAGGGGTCTATAAAATAACAAAATCTGAGCCATACAACACCCCCTTTCATCCCTTTCGCTTCCATTCCAACAATATCCCTCACACACGGGTCAGTCTCACTCTCCTCTAGTCCAAACATATCGTAAGGAACTGAATTCAACTAATCTAAATTCCTTAATTGGCTAAGAAACTCCAAAAGTAAACGCTAGAAACTCATAGCCCAAATGCAAAAGTAAAATAAAAAATTTAAGCTACAAATAAGCACAGTTCCATTAGAAATACAATGACAAGAAAAACCCATTACAAAAATCAATTGAAGTACCAAAAAAAAAAAAAAAATCAAATATAAAAAGTCACACGCCTGAAACCCTAAATCATGGTTTTCAACTGAAGATATGAAGAGAGCATCCGAGTGAAAGAGTCAAAGGTCACAAAATCATTACAAAATTAAAACCCTAGATCGTTAGCAAACAAACCCAATCTCTACTTCACGAATCTAAATTCGGAACCCGTGCAGAAGGCCCAAATCGAAAACCAAGCAGATTTCTCAATGTATGATACAGCATTCAGAAAACCCTAAAAGTGCAATACTTGAGCATACCTGCTGATACTTGAGATATGAAAGAGAGAGACGGAGAAACAGGCGAGGGAGGAGAGAGAAAGAGAGACCAGAGTGAGAGATACAAGTAAAAGACCAAAGAGGCCGATATTTTTCTTTCTTTTACTCGAAGACGTTAGAGTGAGGAATAAGTAAGGAATTTGGATCATGTAGGATCGTATCTGTATCATCCTGTATCAGATATTTGATCCTGGCCGTTGAAAATAATCCTACGGCTATGTAAAATTGATTTCTTTTAATACAATTTGATTTTTACCCGGACAAAACAAAAATGAAAAATTGTAAGGAGACTTTCACAAAATGAGAGTTTTATATAAATTTTCTGTCGCGTCACAGTTTAATGTCAATTATCGTACCAATATTATAAAATATTATGTCCAAAATATGAGATGACAGATAGTTCATAAAAAATTCTATTTTTCAGAGAGTATACCGTAGTAATTCTCACAAAAAATTAGTGAAACAATTACAGCACGCAACAACAATGTTACTCGAAATTACATGATCGTCTTAGTTATTTGTGCTATAAATTTTGTGAGGCGTTGCTTTCAGTTATAAATATTGTGAAAGCAGTCAGATTAGTGCAGTACCTTTTATCCTTGTTTGCTTTCAGATTAAGCTCCTTGATTAAAGAAACAGTAGAAGTAGGGTTCCTTGTTGACACGAAAGTTGTATATTGGCTTATATAATTGGAGTTATCTTTAAGTTATCTTCGTACTCCTAACTTGTTAATTAGTCATCCCAATATTTATGATAGTTTAGTACTACTTCTATTTTATACATTGTTTTCTAACAAGACTTGTAACTCAAGTAATTAACAAACTGCATCTCGATTCGTCGCCTCTCCCCCAACAATCACTTGTACAAAGAAAAACATTTTTCTATATACTCATTTGATGATCATGGTTTGACATAAACTGGCCTTAAAACCCCACTTGATAATCATTTTCTTTGTTTGTGGCACAAAAAATAAAAACTAAAAAACAAACTAGTTATCAAACAAGTCCTGAGATATTTAACTTTTGAAATGAAGACTAAAATGTTTTTTTTTTTTTGTGCCTAAAGCATCTCACGATACTTTTGGAAGTTCCAAAAAACTAAAAGCTCTTCGAACAACGTTTGATAGAAAAAATTAAATGTACTTCTAATAAAGTGATTATGACAAAAGCACTTATGAATAAAAGTGCTTCTAAACAAGTAAATGTCACGAAGAAGTCACTTTTTTGTTTCGTTAGTTAACCAAAAACTTTCCGAACCCTTTCCTTTCCTTTGCACAAAAGAAATTTCAGTATATTTATTCTTTGCTCCTCTTGTCACTTGAATAAGTTTTTTTTTAACAAACGATATTACATACACTAAAAAGAAGATATGGGTTTAGCTTCAAATTGAGTTAGTAATAATGTGATTCAAATTCGCCTCTAGCGATAATCAAATGTCACATCCCAACCCGGGGAGGACCACTCCCCAAGCCCGCTCCACCACCGTAGCACGATATTGTCCGCTTTGAGCTTACCATTCCCTCACGATTTTGTTTTTGGGAACTCATGAGCAACTTCCCAGTGGATCACCCATCATGGGATTGCTCTAGCCCCCTTCTCGCTTAACTTCGAAGTTCCCATGAAACCCGATGTCAGTGAGCTCTCAAAAGACCTCGTGCTAGGTATGGATGAGAATATACATATAAGGATCACTCCCCTAAACGATGTGGAATCTTACATCTCACTTACAAATAAAAAAAATTATTAAATCATAATACTAAGTCTCAAAATTTCATTTAACTTAATGCATTTGCCTTTTGCTCAAATTAGAAAGTAGTTGGAGTCGGTTAAGAATTAGGTGGCTCAGGTATCATTACTTTAGTAGTTTCCATTTCCTCTTGTAGCAGTACACAAACGAATGAATGAGTACTTCTGAGTACTGTTTTTTTTTATCAAGAATCCCAAACTTAGCTTCTTCTTTTCTTTTCTTTTTTCCGAGAAACGATAAAGATCTTATTCACTTAAATGGGAATACAATCGTATAGGATAACATTGTAGATTAATTTGGAGATTCGTGGAACCAACAAGAATCCAAATCATAAAATATAATTCATTGTTGTTAGTTTAAGAAGCCACTATATTCAGAGTCGGATGGAAGTAAGGACAGGTGATCTCAAGATCACTTCGAAAAATATAAATGTGAAGGTCTTTCGAGGATTCTCCGAATATTTGGTATGGATTTAGTTTGTGCCTACTAAATGTTTTATGTAATACATGATAGACATATCTTGACATATTGCTTCAACAACACTTGACAAGTTCTTTCTATATCGCTCATCAGATTGCTTTGGCACATATCAATATCTGTTGACATGTGTACAACAAGCCGACCAAATGAATAAACTAATTCTTTTCGCCCACTTTGTGCTTTGTTCCTAATAACAAAACTTGTAGTTAGTACTAAGATCCCTATAAAGTTCAAATTCTGAATCTGGTAGAACGATTGTCGGTGACAAAATTTAGTGGGAGATTTTTACTTGGCCAGGAAGACGAACTTTCCCATCCACTTTATGGTGTACTAGTCAGCGTTATATATATCTTGATCATTTTGAAATTATTAAATTAAATTACAAATATATTGAAATACTATTTCTGATTCCTAAATTTTTTAGTGTAATTATTCTAAAGTCCTGAGGAATATCCGAATGTATGTATATTTACTGTTAGAGACACGTCGACAAAAAGTCAAGTCTTTGTCTCTCAAATAAAATTAAATCAAGCCACTAAAATGAAATTTTAATAAAATATCGGGATGCTTTAATAAAAAGAGTTTGGATCAATTTTTTTTAATAAAAAATCATTCACCACTTTTATTGAATAAAAAAACACTTGAAATTTAATGAAAATGACAAAAGTAACATGCAATAGGCCCAAAAAATTTAAATTACACGGGCTGCTCATTTGACATTATTAATTTAAGAACCATCCCCATTTCCATTTTCTCTATGGCGTCCACCATTCCTACTTCTATTTATCCTCTGCACAGTTCCCACAAACTAAAAATCTTACCTTTCAAATTCAATTTAGTAAACAAGGAACTTACACTTCCACTCCATACATATATATCAGAAGGAACAAAGCTCTTCCCAAACAGAAAAATAATCTACATGTTAAAAAATAAAATAGGCAATGTATGTGGTGAACTGTCTTGATGGTTAAAGTTATATTGTCAACTTATGCCGTTGCAAGTTTAAACTTTTATCCCCTTAGAATAAATTAGTATATGATATTGCTTGTCCTAAAAAGAATAAATAATTAGTATAAAAATATCCCTTGTACTAAAACAAAAATTACACATCAAATTAAAATTAACAATACCCCATCAATTATCTTTTTTTTTTTTTGAACGACATCGATTATCTTTTATATCAGCAAATCAATTATGTTGGATTACAGTTTTACAAGTCGTTTTGTCATATCCCAGCAATAACCTAAAAACAAATCAACAAAAATGCATTGGTATCATACTAGAAATGTGATACTTTACGATTCCTTAAGTAATAAAAAAAATCAAATGGCTCAAATATTTCCATAAGTAAACAAAACTAGCAATTATAAACAAATGAAAAGTCTCCAAAATCTAAAATCTTCAAACTAAACACTGCCATTGTATTTAGAACTAAACATTGATTATTTCTAAAACTGAACTATTTTGCTATAGTTCTAGAAATAGTATTTATTTGTTCCCTTTCAGAAATAATGTGAGTTATTTTGGTTCAGTTGTCAGAAATAGTGTGCAATTTTGTTGTAGTTCCAGAAATAATGTGGGTTATTTTGGTTCAATTTCAGAAATAGTGTTGGTTACTTTGCTGTAGTTTCAAAAATAAATTTATTTTGTTTCCTTCCAGAAATAGTATGATTAATTTTGGTTCAATTTCAAAAATAAAGTGAGTTATTTTTTAGTAGTTTCAGAAATAGTATGTATTTTGTTATATTACAGAAATAATTTGGGTTATTTTGTTGTAGTTTCAACAATAGTGTTTATTTGTTCAATTCTAAAAATAGTGTGAGCTGTTTTGGTTCAGTTTTCAGAAATAGTGTGTGATTTTGTTGTAGTTTCAAAAATAATGTGGATTATTTTAGTTCAATTTCAGAAATATTGTTGGTTATTTTGCTGACATTTCAGAAACGATGGTTATTTTGTTCACTTCTAAAAATAGTATGGGTTATTTTAGTTCAGTTTCAAAAATAGTGTTTTTTTTTTTGTAGTTCCAGAAATAGTGTGTATTTTGTTCATTTTTAGAAATAGTCTGAGTTATTTTGGTTCAACTTCGAAAATAGTGTGGATTATTTTGGTTCAGTTTCAGAAATAATATTTATTTGTTTCCTTCCAGAAATAGTCTGAGTTATTTTTGTTCAGTTTCGAAAATAGTGTGGATTATTTTGTTGTAATTCCAAAAATAGTATGGATTATTTTTGTTTAGTATTAGAAATAATAAGAGTTATTTTACTGTTTCTTAAACTAAATACTAACTATTTCTTGACATAAACATGGATACTATTAATATTTCTTTAAACCAAAGACTCATTCTCACCAATTACTCACCAGTAACAAAAATTTGCAATGTTATGAACTAAAACCCTTCAAAATTTCCAACTTTATGAGCAAAAACTAGCATTAGTAGATTCAAAAGTTCAGAACTCCTTTACATATAAATAGTTATATTTCTATAACTAGACATTTTCCTTTTCTTCTTAATATTTCACTTCCATTTCCACTTCTGCACCTATCTCCGTCCCAACAGTTCAGATCAATTTAGTATAGTGTAGCATATTGCTTACATAAAATAAATAAATAAATTCACCTACATTTTTCTTTTTCTGATTTGCATTTTCACATGCATGTGGCTGCAACCAAACAACCGAAACAGGGACATGGATAAAAGAAAATGGGGATTATTTCCAGGGAAATCAACAATTGTAGAGTTTGAATTTGAACACTGAATATTTCTTAAACTAAACACATGTACTATCATTATTTCTTAAATTGAACATTGATTATTTCTTGAACTGAATACTGATTATTTATAAAACTGAACACAAGTACTATTACAATTTTTTAAACTGAACACTGACTTTTTCTACAACTGAACACGGGTACTATCATTATTTCTTGGGAGTTTTAACGAAAAGTCCACAGTACTATTCACTTTAACGAAAAACCATATTTTTACACTAAAAAGTCAATCATTATTACTTTACCCTTTATTTTGTCCTTATCGTTAAAACTCAAAGTTTTCAAGCCATTTTCATTAGTTTTCTTTTATTTCTTACACTGAAAGTTGGTACTATCACTATTTCTAAACTAAACACCGACTTTCTAGAACTAAACACTGACTATTCTTAAACTGACTGGTATTATCACTATTTCTTAAACTGAACACTGATTATTTCTTAAAATAAACACTAATACTATCAATATTTTTTAAACTGAACACTAACTATTTCTTAAATTGAGCACTCATTATTTTTTTAACCGAACACTAGTACTATCACTATTTCTTAGTGAACACCCTAACCCCACAAGTAGGTAGTAACTCTCTAGTTTGGGGCTGCAATTTGTAGCATTTCCTTTTGTTTTGTGGGGATTTTAAGCCATCATCATGTACAAGAAATCTCAAACCAAATTCCCATTTTCAATTCCTAACAATCCAAATCTAGTAACGAGTAATGCCAAATTCATGACAGTCAACTCTCTTCACTCCATTCTAATGTAAGCAGAAACAAAATTGCCACTCAGTCTCAAATTCCAGCACAATTAAACTTACATGCAAGAACGTCAAAGTTCGGATATGTCAAACTATTGCTATTGCTATGTGAAAATATTAAAACGACAGCACGGTCGCGTCACAATTACATGTAAGCTTTCCTCGTTCCTAATTAAAAATTTAGTTTAGTGACCTACGTCAACAGTGTTCCCACAATTACAGTGACCCAAGTGTACTTTTGTTGTGTATCAGAATGCTCAAAGGATAACTGGAGCCGATTTTAATTGTCACAGTGCTTGAAGAAAAAAATAGATAATGGTGCATGAAATGCCATTTTACCCCATTTTCAATTTTCACTTTTCACCCCAGTAGATAAATCTTAAATTTAATTTTGAAATAAAATAAGTCATGAAATGAACCCTTGACAAATGTATCATCAACTATCAACTACGACAAATGTATCATCAAATTGCCAAATTTTCAGATATAAACAGCCATTTAGCAATTTGTTTTAAGCCCTTAATAAGCTAATAAACTTGACACTTCACAATTCTTTGTTTCTATGTACACAATAGACATGGAAATGTAAACATCATATGCAATGAGTTATGATGATAAATTAGATGATAGATTATTATGTTGTGGCCGGGAAAGCCGGTGATATGATGAACTCTATCTGAGATCATTATCGACCAGTTTGGTTTTCCCCTTTCGGTCTGGTTGGCAACAAGTTCAATGCCTAGTTGCCCTTTGTCTCCGGGCCCAAATGCATATAGTATCCCTGACTCGGTGAGTGAGAAGTGTGGGCGTTCCAGTATATGGAATTGGTGGGATCGATCAGTACAACCTGCTCATTCACTTGCTTCAACGATGTCACTAGGTAGCTCCGGTGCCAACACATTTGCATGTCTATTTCCCTGTAAGAGACGCAACACACGAGATAAGAGTAAACTGACCTGAAAGGTTTCGAGATCATACAAATGAGCAATACTAATCTTCATATAAAATTTAATGCAAATACTACAATAACAAAATTGGTTTGGATTTATCAAGGAACAAACATAAAGATATCAAAATGAGTGATACCGAATGCTTTAGGAAAAAATAGTTTGGACAAGGCTCCCAATATTCTCTTTTCTTTTTTTATTTTATTTTATTTTATTTTATGTTAGTAACATTCTCAATTGAATAAGATCCTGGAACACCTCTATTTGGTTCCGTAAAAGCTTTTTGTTCGATGTAAACAGAAAGCTATCAAGGCAAACTAATAAAAACATACAATCCTTACATATGCCATTTGGTTGACAAGCCAAAGCAAGAAGGTAGCAGTATCCAGCTGCAATTTTCACCACAGGTACATTCTCAAGTGCTCCCAATAGAGGATGGGGCTCAACATCGGTTGGCTCGGTTAGGTGGCCGAGTTTGCCATCGTTGCCCCAAGAAAATGTATACATCCTGCCCTCTCTTGGCAACACAGCCATGAAGAAATTCCTAATTGCAGCTTGTACCACAAATATGTCTTTTAAAGACTCAACCAACAGTGGAGTAGTCACCTCAAACAGTAAACCAAAATAGTCTCACAATAGTCATGTTAAATAAAACTGAAACTGCAACAGCTTGTGAATAATGTTACCAATTGTTGGAATGGTGGTCTGTGATCTCATCGCACTTGAGCTTGTACAAGACTGTAGTTTTACTTCCAGCATCGATACCGACCATACGAAGTTGCATTTCCTTCATAGCAAAAAGCCAACCGATCAATTTGGTGAAATACAACCCCATTTTTTCAAGTTTCAGCTGAATTCAGAATCCATAAGTCAGATACCAGTTCATCTAACATTAAGCCACAAACTTTCCACTTTAATTTTAAATCAAGTTACGAGATTTCTCTTAAGAACCTGAAATTTCATCAAAATCCAAATATACCAAAAAAACACATAAAAAATCCTTGCCCGACCTACAATTCTCCTAAAGATCTAAAATTTCATCAAAATCCAAACAAGCACGGGAATATTAAGCCTAGCACTAAACCCAAAAGCTACTAATCAAATTAAAATAAAAAAAAACATTCAGACCTAAAATTTCATACAAAAATGAGGACCTAAAAGCTACTAATCCATGAAGAATGAGATGCATATTGATTTGACGAAGAAGAAGATTAGCAGATGTGTTGATGAAATGAGAAAATTACATACATGAGAGAGTAATCTGTCCACCTTTTGCTCTCTTCGTCTGAAGCGAAAATGGACAACATAAACGGGCCAAGCTGACGTTAGGCGTAAAATTGAAACCTTGATAAATTATTTTGCTTGGACCAGTCTTATTGGCCTGGTTTGATGTTGGGTTTTATCATAAGGAAAATTAACAAAAAGTTTTAAAAAATTTAGTTTTAATGAAAAATGACAAATAAAGGTGTAGTAAATAGTACCAGATAAAGGTAAAAATGTGATTTTTCGTTAAAAGTGAACAGTACTGAGAGTGTTTCATTAAAACTCTCTTTATCCTAACCATTAAATAAAGTTATTACATAATTTTTGATTAAAAATCAGAATATTGAAGTCATTTTTCATTAGTTTTCTTAAAATATCATTGATTGGTTATTCAATAAGTTGAGAGATTTTCAAATTTTTTTTTTTGGTGACTTTGGATGCAATCCCTTTATCAACGTTCTTCGATTGAAACCTTGTTAATTTTTAGTTTTTTATTGGGGTCCCTGAAATTAATACAATAATGCATTTCTATGTAGGTTATTATTGTGACAGCCCGTTCCGAAATTTTAAAACGTATGCGTGAAAAGACGATTTTGCCCCTAGTGTGAATTTTCGTTGTGTGGTTGTATTTTTGTTTGGTGTGGCTGGTTTTGCACCACACACTTTCCCCCACACCTTTCCTTCACCCTTTCCCTGTCCCTACACCTGTCTCGTGCCATTTTTCCTTTCCCATTTTTCATCCATTGTACGGACACACACATAAACACACCAAATCATCACAGATCGAAGAAACAAGATACATATCCATGCTCGTGAAGTCCGTAGGAGTCTAATCATACCCATTTCAGGTAAGGATACCTTCGTTTTCACGTCGAACTCGGGATACCCGATTTTTGGCACTGTTCATGCACACGTAATTTCTTATGTTTTTGGGAATTTCAAGCTTGTAGGAAGCTTGGTGAGGTCCCTAGGAGGCTCTGGGTGGTTCGTTTGAAGGTTTTGGACGTCGGGATCGTGAGTTTTGAGGTTGGCCGGAAATGGTGGAGTTTTCCAGGTGAGATTTTGTGGATTTTAGCACTCGAAAGTGGTATGATTTTGTTCCTCTCGTTGTAAGCTTCAATTTGGTACCAATTTTGTGAAATTTGGTTGAAAAACGAAGAAGATAAGACGATTTGAAAATTTTCCTGATTTTCTGGCACCGTCCGGCGCCGGAGCCTTGCCGAGAAGACGACGGAATATTCTGTCAAAACTGACGAAATATTCCTAACGGCGTTAATGGAATCTGTTAGGGTTAATGGAATATTCCTGACGGCGTTAACTGACGCCGTCAGCGTGCCAGGCACGTGCCTGCGCGTGGCCGGCGCGTGGGGGTGCATGCGACGGTGAAATTTTTTTCTAAAAATATGGGGATGTTCCTGAGGTTGAGTAGATCACGTTGGTGTATTCATACACCCCATTTGAGCAATGTATGAGAAGTTATTTCTAAAGGTTGGTTATGTGCTTTAAAATTAACGTTTTTATAGTTGTTTCGCATATAGGTGAGACGTATCCCGAGGACGAGCGTGGTCACTCGAGGCAAGGGGGTTACGACCCTTCTACTTACCAGTGAGTGGGCTTTGGTTTTCCGTATATACTTATATACTTATACTTTTCCCAGAAATTGATTTTGAAACGTTTATTCGTTATATGCCATGCATTATATTGTCGTTGTTATACATTGCTAGTTGTGTATATATATATATATATATGTATGTTGGTGCTGTGGATGCGTAGGTAAGTGCCGGGTGAGTATGATTTGCATTTATGTTCAGTAGTGATTCCAGATACATAGAGAGCTCATAAACTGCACCTCCGGTGTTAGTGCTCCCGCCCAGAGTAGGGCACAGTCCTTCACGTGATGTTCACCTCCTGCATCACACGCTCATCTTGGATCCAAGTTAGGTGCATAGTCCTGTCGTACAAACCACTTTAGGTGGTTCTGACTCGTAGGTGACCCACGATTATTCGCCCAGCCTTCACGTGATCGTAGCACTTAAGCGTACTTATATTACACCCAGTCCTGTCGTACAGACCACTTTAGGTGGTTCCGACTCGTGTGCAGGTATAGTTAGTGAGATGAAGATTCGAGCTCTAGATTCAGCCGTACAGGTCAAGTTAGGTGACTCCGGCTAACAGTTTACATGGTATTGATTTGATATTTCCTGAGCACTTGCATATTACTTTGAGACATTTGGCATGGCACGTTTTCCGAGCATGATTTATATGTATGTGTATGCTATTTTCTGGGAAGTATACAGGTTTTACGGCAAGGGGTTAGAACTTGTTTTGAAATGGTTTTTGAAATGCTTTATTTTTGCCCACTCACGTTTTTGTTTTGCGCCCCTCCAGGTTCTAGTTGGCTAGCTCGTTTGGTGGCTTCCCCGAGGACTTTTCCGGCATATTTGACAGACCGACACCAGTGTAGGACCACCTTCGGGAGTACTTTTGTCGTGTCGTATCCTCCCGGACTGCATTAGGTCTTCGTGCTCTGAACTTTGTTTACACACTTTGTTGCTCATGTATGTTATTACCTCGTGTTAAGCTGGATTTTATTTATTCGTATTATTTTTATTTTTATTTTAATAGCTTCCGCACTGTGCACATGGCTACGTCACTTCCACGTGACGGCCAGCATGCCCTGATCTTGATCGGGGTGTGTCAATTATAATTTTAAATTAAATTTGATATTTGTAGTTACTTATATTAATGAGATTTTAAATAAAATTCATGATTTTAAATAAAACCCATTTTTGTCATTACTTATATTAATGACATTTTACATACAAAAAGTTGGTACATTTTATACAAAAAAGGTGGTACAGTTTAGATGAAAAAATTGGTACATACTATATACAAAACAATGGGTATATTTTAGGTTAAAAAAAATAAATACATCTTACATTAAAAAATGGGTACATTTTACATAAAAAATGGTACTTACAAAAACAAAATTGGCATATTTTACATATAACAAAGTGGAACATTTTTAAAGACAAATGGGTACATTATCAATAAATTATTGGTACAAAAAAAAAAAAGGTTTAAAAAATGTGTAAAAATAAAAGTTTGAAAAATATGGACACAAAAATAAATTAATATATGGGTACAAATTAAAATTGAAAAGAAAATTGGTACAATTTAGAAAAAAAAGGCTGCAAATTAAAATGGGTACAAACTCAACATAAACATATATGATACAAAATTTAGCCATAAGTGTGTATGTGTGTATAATATCAAATGTAATGTTTCTAACACTAAATGAATATATTTAGAAATAAAATTTAATTATTTTGCATGTAAAATATTTTGTTATGGAAATAATTAATGATTTTTATTAAAACCAAGGGACCTTAATAAAAAATTGAAAATGAATAAGGTTTTAATTAATGGAGTTGAAAAATAGGGATGAGAACCTAATTTTTCCTTTTATATATATATATATATATATATATATATATATAAATGAAAAAGAATCAAATATTTTCAATTCCTTTCCGCGAAATTCATCAGAAACTAATTAGAATCGAACTCTTGTCATAGACCTAAGAGAAAGAGGTGCAATGCATCACTAAAACTATAGCCCCATCCCCCACATTAAAAGCATTGTATTCATACATAAGACAATAGAAAGAAAAAAAATGTACAACCTCCTTAGTCGCTGTCTCACAAAATCAACCTCATATACGACATTTGACTTTGTTATTAGATCAACGAATGAATGTTAAAATATCTCACATTGATCTAACTCCATTTTAACTAATACCGAGACATTTCGTGATAAAATCTCATACTTAAACCATCTACAATGGTTAGGCTAAAAGCCATATTTTTTAGCCCGGAAAATTTAGCTTTTAGTCCAGAAACAGCTTTTCTGCTCTAACCGTTCTAGCCTAAAATTTTAGCCCGAGATTATTAAAGAATGAACTTAGGCTATTTTTTTGTTAAATTATTATTTTTTTAAATAAATATGTAGACTATCGTAAATTAATTTTATGAACATTTTAATCTAAAAAAATTTAAATTCCGATAAATATTGGGTAGAGTCCACTCCGATTTCTGGGCTAAATTTTGGAAGGAATTTGGCATTGGTTTAGCATTTAGCATTTAGCCCAAAATTTCCCATTGGGTTGGAGTGGGTTTGGGGGGAATTTTTTGGGGGTAATTTGGCTTTTAGCCCATCATTGGAGTTGGTCTTAACAGATTGTGTAAATGGTAAATACCAAGTTAGAGATAATATTAATTGGTATTGTTGATAGTAAGTTTGTGGCCCGTCTCTCTGATAATTCTACAATGTACCAACAAAAAAAAAAAAAAAAATCCTACAAGTCTCAATAATTTAAAACAAAAGGATCCAATCCCATATGGTCCACAATCATTTGGATGGTTTCCACTTGTGAATGGGGGGAAGAGTTAAGTTTTACACATAAAAGGATAGGAAGAAGGAAAACGAATCCAAAAAGCTTTCAAAACACTCATTGAATATCCTTAGAATCCATGGAAATTGGAACCAAAATCTCTTACTCAATTCATTTGTTTCTTCTTTTGGGGTGACAAAATGTGAAACAAGTATAAAGCAAGAATTCTAAAACAAGGTCTTTTGTACAATCAATCCCAATAAAAGTAATTGGCAAAGAGGACCGAAGTCACAATGTTAAACAATATGAAGAGTAAAGAGCAATGCAAGAATAATCACACAAATATCAACTCATAGTTCCCAACTTAGGTTCGATTAGTGTGTCTGTCCCGTTACATTTGAGTTCGAATCATTATCATTATTCTTAATCACAACAATTAAAATACGCATGATATTGTCAAAACAAAAAACATTTAACACTTGATCATACTGGCATCCGAGCTTGAACCATACTTTGGCGCTCACTACTATAATCACAAGTAGAATATGTGAAATGCTACAACTCATAAGTGTTGGGTAACGACGTTAAAAAAAATATTACTCCACTACTAAAATCTGTGTAAATCTCTACTTCTCCATGCTTCTAGCTTATATACACATATGCAATGGGTCGTTACTTTCAAATTTCACCTATAAATTTACCAAGCCCACCTATACTTTTACCTCTCGTTCTCTCCACATCAGCAATTCAGCTCCAAAAAACGAAATTTACAGAAATGAACCACAATCTGGGAGTGGCGCTAGCAAAACCAATGAATGAGAGAATGATGATAGAATTGATTGAATTTACCAATCATACCCCTGCAAGCCACCGAAACATCTCGGATATCTCTTCTCCGACGCGCTCTGTTTCCAAGCTCGAATCGCCGGCGATAGACACCTCGCTCCGGCAGCTACTTCCAGTGTAGAATCTTCCAGAGCTCCGAAATGACATATCTCGGGACGAGAGGGTGCTGGACAGTTGATCGATGTAGTCTTTGAGCCAGCTCGACCTTCCCGAGCCGACCTCCGCGGATAGGATCAACGGCGGAATTGGCGGTTCCGGCTCTGCCACTACCAAGACGACCTCATCTTTCTCTCGTTCAGTATTGCTCAGCCGCACTTCCGACGTCTCGTCGTCTGCAATGTAATCGAAGGAGCCGACGGAGTAGGAGTGTCGATTGGAGGAATTCGTCGTTGTCGTCTGATTGTTGTTGCTGAGGCTCACGTTACCGATTTCGAGACGGAAGCGTCCGCTACTGTTCGCTGTGGCTGGTTCGGCATTGGAGGAGACGAGCATCATGACCTCGGCGTCGGAAACAGCGATCGAGGAGCGACATAGCGGGCAAGTCTGCTGCGACTGCAGCCACGGGTCGATGCAGACGGAGTGGAAGGTGTGGCAGCAGAGCGGGAGGAGGTGGACCTCGTCGCTGGGCTCGAATTTCGACAGACACACGGCGCAGTCGGCGGAGATGGTAGAGGAAGATCGGCGGGCGATGGAGGAGAAGGTGTAGAGAGGGAGGGAAGGAGAGGTATCGGGATTGATTCGGCGAGTGGTTATGTGGCGGGAGTCGGAGAATGAGTCGGACGGTGAGGGAGCAAGGCGACGGATGCACCGGCGGTTGAGGTGGCGGAGGATGAGGCAGATTGAGGCCACGACTGTGGCTGCGAGGATGACCATGATGATGGGGAGGTTTGGGCTTAGGGTTTTGAAGGAGGAGGAGGATTGTCGGTGAGGTAGTAATGGCGGTGACGGCGCTGGTGCTGCTTCTGTTGTTTCCGACATTTTAGAGAGAGAGAGAGAGAGGGTGAATAAATTCCTTGTTTGATTTCGGAGACTGGGAGGGGGATGGTATGTGCCTATCACGTGATGTGGAGGGAATTTGATTATGGTGGAGGTGGAGGTGCTGGTCTGGAATTGTATTCCGGTACCAGTCCAGAGTAAATGCGCGCAGGTTTTTGAAGAGAAAGGTCGGAAGCAGGAGGATGGTTCTGAAGTTACAATTATGCCGCTGTTGTTGCCGGGAAGTTATGATCGTGCCCTCTGTTGGTGTGAAAATGTGATTTGACTTGCGTTTGTGGTTTTATTTATTTATTTATTATTATTATTATTTTTTTATAACTTTTTTACAAACGACACCATAAGTTAACTGATAGTTGTTAAAGAAAAAAGAGATAGTTAGGGATCGAGTATAAAAATTATTGTTTTTCGTTATTGCAGTACTGCGCCTTCTGCTTATGTTAGTGTTTTACATGTTGGATTTCATTGGATTACTGTAATTGGGATGGTTCCCAATAATTGCCTGTGTCATTTTCCTAGATTCAATTTTTTCTATTTTTCTAATTAAATTTGATTTTTACTGGAGATTATTATAAATTTAATCATTAATTAACCCTAAAAGTTATAGTCATGCCCATATGGAAGTTTCGCTGAAGATTAAACTTTCCACGTATAAAAGGTTTTGTTACATAAGATTATATTTGGAGAGGATATGCAACAATCAACATAGATATATAACAGCAATAAATGACATATCATTTATTTCAATCAAGATATCAAAGTTGATATAAAAAAAAAGCTAGCTGGCATAGACAAAGAGATTTCAAATTTGAAGCTGCATTCAAATATGGTTTTTGTTATTTCCAAAGGTATTCCATTTGTTTTACCTTAATTGTTAACATACTTAAGAATTATTTTATTATTTTTAAACCAACAACAACCCAATTTTTATTATTATTGTTTAAAAAAAAACATAAATGGAGCAATAATTTTGGTAAATCGAATGGAAAGAAAATATTGACAATATATCAAATTGCTAGTCAACCATCAAATTAAAATTTAATATTTTAAATATGACGTCTCCTTTAGAGATGTTCTTAAACCTTCTAATTATCATTAATTATCTTTCATAGATGGCCCACCTTTTGTTTTTTGATACAAGCGATTAGGGATGAGAGATTAAAACACGAACTCGGATGCAAAGGTAAGTATAATTAACCACTAGACCTGAAGTCTTTGTGGTTACAACACTAAACCAAGTATCATTTTTTTTAATTTCAAGAATGAAAACTAATGAGAATAATTAGATGAGGGCGTCTGATCCACGTTCATTTGTATAACACTTCGCAAAAAAGCATAAAACCCTATAGGTTAGTTCATTAAATCTCAATTTGGTTGTCTGGTATAAGAGCTGCACTCGTCAAGCTAACCACGTGTCTTTTTCTTGAACTTCATCAATTGCATGTCCTTTGTTTTCAAATAAAGTTTGCCTAAAAGGAAAAACCGACTAAAGCGAATTACTTCAAGTAACATTGTTACATGGCAGTAGATGGAACTTAGAATTAGTGGTCGCAAATCAACTTATTGGATTGTTAATGCGTACCAATTAAGACCTGTTTAATTTGATATCACCATAATATAAGAGTGACATTAGTAGTGATGATGATGGTGTAAGGTGAAATCAAATTAAATGTCTTAATATGTACCTATTAACAACCCAATGAGTTAATTTGACACATCTACTTAGAATCACAACCATTTGATCTGAGAGAAGCTACAAAAAAATGTTGGATTAAGTAGCAACCAAACGACGCTGGATACTTTTTGCTTCACCTGATCCAGATCCATAAATCAGTTTCTTTCTGGTACTAACCATTGATTAAATATGATCTGAGCATGTTCGTATTAGCCGTTTATTACTGGATTAGTGGACTAATTGAATTAGTATTTGATATTCTTTTGGTACTTTGTCATTATTATCTCAAATTCTTTTGGGTACTCGAAAACTAATAAGAAAATAGAAAGAAGAATAAAGCATATGGTATATAATTATTTTAAATAATGAGATTTTCTAGGAACATGAAGTGCAGTGCTTTCTGATATGGAAATGGAATGATCCAAATGGACTGGAAATTTGGAGAGACTCTTTCTCACCACTACCCTAGTACTAGTAATTAAAAAAATAATTAGGGACTTGTTAAATCTATGAAAAAATTGTATTGAAGAGATAGTCGTTCTGAATGCCAATAGCAATTGTAGAAGATTGATTTCTATAACATCTTCCTCTTGAATATAATGTAGTAAAAGAAAACAGATTGTACGTCACATGCTTTTAGTAAGTTTAATTGACAAAAGCTTCGAGAGGTTTTTTTTGAACTAAAATTTCACCCTCATCTATGGAACAAGAATATTAGGTTTCATTACAATGTTTGGAAAGACTAAATCATTTCGTATAATTGTGCTAAGAAAAGTGTGCGAAAATCATTTGTTAAAATAGGATTGTGAAATTGACAGAAAATGACTACAAGGCACGTTAATACGTTTTCTTTAAAGTGATATTTGCCCCCACTCTAATATGATTTTGCTAACCGATCTAAAGTAAATCACTTCCATGATACAACAAAATATGAAATTTTAGTTTAACTAGAAATGAAATTCCATTAGAATCTTCTGAAAAGAAACTCTATGGTTATGTTGGATGAGAGAAAAAGGATGACACCCATTCAATTTGGGGTGAAAGTGGTGCATCCAAAAGTCATATATGTTCATAAGATAAAAACTGATACAGTTTATCACACTACATCTTTTTTTTCCGGCAGCAATTGAAAGAATCATATCTTTCGTCCTGTGGCTATTACATGAAGAGTTATATCTCTTCCCCTTCCGGCACGTATAATTATATACCTCTTCCATCCTACGGGAAGAGTTGAAGAGCCATAACTTTATGAGGCGCATACAATATTTCACGCTTAAATAATATGTTTCGATACCCATTCAATCAACAAACTTTCTATCATAAAATTTCTGACAAATATATATATATATATATGTACGTATGTCTGTATGTATGTTCGTATATTTTAAAATATCCTAGGTCATTTATCCCTTTTCAAGTATAGAAGACAAGTCAGACTGACAAGGAGAGTTCCAACAACTTTGGGTTCACATGAATACGTAATGGATGATGCAGTGACTTAAAGCGACACACAATGTTTCATTCCCTCGTCACATTGCGAAAATAAAACCAAGATAAGAACCGTCTGGGGATTAATTAATATATTCATTTATTTAATTTATCAGTCAATGATACGACTATTAATTATAATAAAATTGTCAATTCATCCCGAACTTGCAATGAAATTTACACTAAAATTCCATGTAATTTAATGACTGATGTAGCATTGATAGATGCTTGATCATTTATCTACGTGGAGTGCACATCCAAATCTTTTGGTTACTTGTAAATTAAAGCAATAAGCATTGACGACCCTACTAAAGTAAAGTCAAGCTACAATTTGTTGTCGTTTTTGGCCCTACAGGCTCATGCATCTACGTACGACAGCAAATATGGCCGTGACTCAACTGGACTAAAGCGACCAACGTCACTACAAACCCGCAGATTCACTACAAAACAAAACTGGACACTAGTAGTTTCCGTTCGTGTTTTGTCGCATTCCAATTTCCATGCCTGGGACTAAAATTCCTACTAAATATGTGTATTTTCTAAAGTGAGAAGCTGCTTGACGTTTCCTTAGCTAATTAGTTACAACATATTATTGAGGGTTGTGATTATTTTTAAAATATCCTCGTTAAATTATTATATAAAGATTACGTGACTAACATTCCTACTAAATATGTGTATTTTCCAAAGTGGGAAGTTGTTTGACGTTTTCTTAATTAGCTATTTTTTTTTAACGATTGATATTATCTACACTAAGAGAGAACGGTGGGCTTAGCCTCACAATAGGTTAGCAATAATATGGTTCAAATTTGTCTTTGACAAAAATCAAACCTAAGACCTCTCACTTACAAGTAAAAAAGAATATAACTATACTGTAATACTAAGTGGCTTTCTTAGCTAATTAGTTATAACATATTATTGAGGATTATGATTATTTTTATGATATCCTCGTTAAATTGTTATATAGCGATCACGTGACTAACATTCCTACTTACTATGTGTATTTTCTAAAGTGGGAATTTACTTGACGTTTTCTTAGCTAATTAGTTATAACATATTATTGAGGATTGTGATTATTTTTGAAATATCTTTGTTAAATTGTTATATAGCGATCACGTGACTATCTTTTCAAAAATGTTTTTGTCAAAGTGATTTCACTTAAAGAAGATATAGACAATTTTTTATAGAAAAATAGAAATGATTTACAGTGAATAAACTCAAGACTTCTTTTATTAATTTTTATTGTCAATAGTCAAAATGATAAGTTATGCCAATTTTGAATATCAGTTTGATTATAAATCCTTTTCATTTTTATATTACTCTCTTGAACATTAAATAACCATTTACTATAAATACTCATGTTAATCAAAATCGGGTGAGAAAAAAGGTTGTTTATAGCATTGTCTGATTGTCTTTTATGAGTAGAATATAAGGCCATCTCCAACCGAAAGGTCCATAGGGCCTGAGGGCCGAAAATAGACTAAAAACTGTCTTCAACCGAGGGTTAGGCCAAAGGGCTCGGTTGGCCATCTTCAACCAGCACATTGGTTAGCCCACTTTTTCTTTTCTTTTTTTCGTTCTTTTCCATTTGCCCAACCCACTTTTTTATTTTTTATTTTTTTTCTAATTTTTTTCCTATACCATTTCTCACATATTTTTCACCATTCTATACTTACATCCTCTTATTTCAATTCTTCACATTCCATACTATAGCCCTTTGACTCTTAGTTGTAGATGGTTTTTTGTCACAAAACTATGTTTGATCTATGGTCATCTGGCCTCTCGGTTGGAGATGGTAAGAAATATGGTCATGCACTGTTCATTAAAATATTAATTTCTTGAAGGACCAAAGGGTTAAC